GGGAGCAAACCGCAGGATGGATTGCATTGGAAAAGGCTCCAGAGCATCGTGTCCAGCCTGGCAGCGAGCAGCACCGCGCCAACCAGACCTGGCACTGAGTGCCAAGTGCAGTCTTTCCTCAAAACAGCCCCAGGGACGACGCAACACCACCTCCACATTCCAGTGTTTGTTCAATCATCTTTGCTGTGAAGAAATTCCTCCTAATGTCCAACCCCAACCACCCCTGGCACAGCCTGGGGCGATGTTTTCTTGTGCTGTCACTTGTTCTTGTTACCTGTGAGAAGCGACCGACCCCTCTGGCCTGAGGCTCCTCTCAGGGCTCTGCAGAGCGCTCAGGTCCCTCCTTTGCTCCAGGCCGAGCACCCCCAGCCCCATCAGCCGCTCCGCTCAGGGCTTGGGCTCCAGAGCCTTCCCCAGCTCCGCCGCCCTTCCCTGCACTCGCTCCAGCTCCTCAATGCCCTTCCTGAATGAGGGGCCCAGAACTGTTGGCAGGTGTGGCCTCACCGGTGCCGAGTACAGTGCCCCGGTCCTGCTGGCCACACTGTTTCTGATGCAGGTCAGGATGCCACTTGTCATCTTGGCCACCTGGGCACACACTGCCTCATGTTCAGGTCCCTTTTCCTGTCTTTGAGGTTCCTTCCAGCCCAAACCATTTTGTGATCCTATTGAAAGCCATGGGAGAAAACCAAGTCACCCACTTGAAGGGTGACATTGCTAGGCTAAGTGGCTCAGGCCTTTATACAGAGAGTTTGCCAGGAATTATTGGCCAAGCCTAGAAAGAAATGAAGCCATTTGTAATCCTTTCTGGATCTCCCTTAGACAGCTTTTGTTCCTTACTTGAAAATGAGGAACATGTGCTTTGCCCGTGACTTCCACTTAATCACCACCTGCACGTGGAATTGTCATTTGTATTCCTGGGGAGTCTCTGTGGGATTTTCACCAAATGCTATAAATTCTTGGCTTGAAAAAAACAAGTCCCTCCTGTGCAGTGAGGCATTCATTCATGCCTTTTTCTCCCTTGCCAATGACAGCAGATCCTGACATCAAATGAGAGAGATGGACCCTTAAAACTGAAGAGGAGTTGCATTTTCTATGATGGAATTAAGAAGAAATAAGTGTCAGTAGAAAATTTCAGAGGGAAATCATCCAGCTGTGGCTACAAGCTGGAAGAATGTTCTTTGCAATAGCAGTTTGAATAGATGCAATTTGGACAACATTCTCTCAAACTGAAGAAAAGTTTGTTACAATAGTTGAGACTAAAATGAAGAATATCTGTCAAAGAGTTTTTCCCATGTGGATTAACACAAAAACCCCAAATGTTAATGATGTCATGCAGAAAGAATGGCAAGATGTATCACCGAGGGCAAATTGTGCAAATTTGGTGGCCTCCTAGAACAGGGTCACAGCAGTGGTGGGTGAGGGATGAGTGACTGATGTCACCCCCTTGGTCTTGTGAAAAGCATTTGACACAGTCCTGCATGGCATCCATGTCTCTAAACTAGAGAGGCGTGGATTTGGTGGATGAACCACTTGGTGAATGAGGAACAAAGGAATTGGCTGGATGATTGCACTCAAAGAGTTGTGGTCAAGAGCTCAATCTTCCAGTGTAGAGCACAAGTGGTGCTCCTCAGGGGTCAGTCTTGGGACCAGCATTGTTTAGTGTCTTTGTTGGTGGCATGGGCAATGGGATCAAGTGCACCCTCAGCACTGTCCACTCCAAGATGTGTGGTGTGGTCAGCAAGCTGGATGGGAAGGGATGCCATCCAGAGGGATCTGGACAGGCTTGAGAGGTGAGGCTGTGCAAACCTCATGAAGTTCAGCACGGCCAAGTGCCAGATCCTGCACCTGGGCTGGGGCAAACCCAAACATGAGTACAGGATGGGCAGGGAATAAGAAGGGACACTTGCAGGTGCTGACGGATAAGAAGCTCCCCATGACGCAGCAATGTGTGATCAGAGCCCAGAAAACCAACCACATCCTGGGCTGCATCAAAAGCAGAATGGCCAGCAGGTTGAGCGAGATGATTTTGCCCTCGTGCTCTGCTCTGGTGAGAGTACCCCACATGGAGTGCTGTGCCCAGCTCTGGAGCACTGCATCCAGCTCTGGAGCCCCAGCACAAGAAAGACATGGACCTGTTGGAGTGAGCCCAGAGGAGGCCTACAAAGATGATTAGAGGGCTGGAACGCCTCCTTGTCTTTGGAGAGAAGTTGGGGTTGTTCAGCCTAGAGAAGAGAAGAATCTGAAAAGATCTTACAGTGCCTAAAGGGAGCTTACAAGAAATCTGGAGAGAGACTTTTACATTGGACATATAGTGACAGGATGAGGTAATGGCTTTAAACTGAATGATGGCAGGTTTACATTAGATATAAGAAAGAAATTTCTTACTGAACTTGCCCTCATGAAAAAGACAATACAAAAGTAATTGGAATAAAATCATGGCAGGTTTCAGGGCTACTGTCATCACAGATAAGATATGAGTAATTTTCCTGTAAACATCAGTCTTGTGGAGACAGAATATTTTGGTGGATGGAACTAGGTCTGTAAATAAAAAAAATCTTGATTGCTGTTTTCAATAGCTTCCTTCATGGCTGGCCAGGTCATTAAATTCTTTTCTGTGTGGCCAGTTTCTCCATGAGCCTGAGATACTGCTGGCTAGGCATCTCTGTGTTATAGTTAAGTTGCTAAATGAAGTGCTAATTGTTATCATCCTTTGATGTCATTACTGTGGAATATACAGCCAACTCCTTATTGTTCTGTGTAAAGGGCACTTCAGGACTGTGCAAATAAGAGATAAAAAAAGGATGGAGAATGCATTAGAGCAAGAGCTGTGGAAGGAGAGCAGAGACAAACAGCTCCTTTAGGTCAATGCACAGAGTGGTTTCCTGTCACACCAGTTTCTGAATGGATTACAGGGCTAAGTGTGGTTTGGACCTGAGTGGACCCCGTGCATCCAAATGCAGAAAAGTAAATAAACCTCCTGAAAACAGGAACGCATATACAGAGATACAGAGACAAGAGCAGTTGTTTCCTTCCCAGTCCACCCCCTCCCTGGGGGTCCTGACACCTGCTCCAGTGTCTTTGGGACACAAATATTAGGATTGTTCACTCAAAAGATGTCACAGCTATTGAAGTAGAACCTCCGGTCCTTTTTTTTTTCTCTCCAAAATACTGTAGAGCCAGCAGCAGTTCACACTTCTCCACTGTGTTCTTGAAAGGGATCACTCCCTTCACTCTTCACTTCCTTCACTCTTTTGAAGAATTAAGGAAGGCATTAATGCTAAATCATTTTGTGCTTGTGCTCCACTGGAATTGAAAGCAAAATTTACTTCTGACTTTAGTGAGAGAAAATGTAGTCAGTGAATCCTTGTCTTTTCCACAAAGAGTACCAGCTGTGATTCTCAGGACTGTACTTTCTGTGGTTGGGACGGATGCCAGCTAGGAACAGGACTGTGACAATCAAGTGATTTTGCATATGCTACAAAAAGTCTTTAGATAATCATAATTTGGATCAAATTAGAACCAAAAATCTACTGGAAAAAGATCACATGGGACATCAGCAATCCCCTGAGCCAGATGCAGCCCAAATAGTTTAACATAAAAATCTACCCATCACAAAAGAAACAGAAGGTAAACAGTGCTATGTGCCACATATGAAAATTAATACATTTGGGCTCATCCTCCCCTTTCTGTGCCAGAAATTAACTGATCAAATACTCTCTTGCCACAGCTGTGTCTGCATGAACCAATGGTGCTGTGGAACAAAGATACAGTGTCACAACAAGTTTTTTAAACAGAATTGGAATGGCAGCTGCACGAAAAAATGAGGGTGAATCAATGATTCCTAAATGGAAAAAGTCAAAATTAGTAGGGGGAAGAAAAATATCTTTGTACTTCCAAAAGAGCAGTATAAACAAAGCAGAAAATTTCAAATCACAATAAATGGAGCAGACAGGGATTTCACAAGCCTTTGTTGATTTTATGCAAGTTTCTGAAATAGAATAATCTCAAAAAAAAGTGATTTCTTAAGTTTTATTCCATTTGTAAAGAGACAGATTTTGGTATATTGAATGCACATGAAATGGTGAAATAATTATGCAAATGATCCTGTGTTTGGTACCATTGTGAGTTATCCTCTTTAAAAAGGAACTATTTCCCAAGTTCCCAACTTTCAGTCAAGACATGGCTTATGTGCCTATTCAAGCCCAGAAGCAGAAAACACACCAGGTTTCAGAGCTGTGACATTAACATTCATGTGACACTTTGTTTTCTGGATTTTGGTTCTGCATTAATTGTTCCCCCTCTGAAGTCCTCCAGGTTTGGGGGGGGTCTATCTGAAACAAATACACTGTTTCAACTACAGGAGACCCTTGGTTAGATAAATTGGGGTTTTAAACGAATAGAATTCTATATGTGTCATGCTTACCTAGAAGTTTGACTCAGGCAAGTGTAACTTCGTTGTTCATTGCCATTATGTTCTACATTATCATCTGATTTCTTAGAAAAAACAAAACCACACCCACAAGAAACACCTCCTTCCAGTCCCTGTTCCTTGCTCAAAGCCCTTTAAACGGTGCCAAGATTCTTCTGTCTTTTGTGGTTTTAAATGTTATGTAGCTTGTCTGCAATGGAAATAAAGTCATCAAAGAAACATTTTTATACTGTTCCTTAACTCCTTTGTATTTGAGTAGAGGTGCCTTACTCTGAGAAAGTTTTCTCATTCCTCATCCTTGTTTTTCCAGGAATATGTTGAACCACCTTTACAGGCAAGTACTCCAATCTAAAATTTAACCAGTCAGCACATAAAATTGTTACATGTAACTCAGTCTCTACAGGCCCATCTCAGTGACAGCCCACCCAACGTGGGCCACAAGCCTTCCTAGTCTGCATCCAGCCCCTGAAAGCGTCCACAGTCAGAACAGCACAGGAGTGAAGTTACTCCCTTAAAAAATTAAAGCAGGAACCACAACATGAGGACAAAAGGCCAAGTTTTCACGCTCCTGTTCAAAGCACCCTTTGGTTCATCTGGTGTGACATGGTTTAGTTTCACACAAGGCAAAATTTTCTAGCTGCAAACATCATCTACCATACAGAAACTGTTCCATGGTGGACAACGCTTGCACGATGTGCCCAGCAATCCTGGTGAGCCCCTACATGCACCTGGTACATTTGCCAGTGCTCCTCTCCTTGACTGTGGATGTGTTGCTCTAAGTCTGAGCAGAAGATTCACATGGTACCCTTCAGTAATCCAAAGCCATTGAAACAAGGAGTGTTCCTTCTACATTAATAGAGTTTAGGCCGGACCCTTTGCTAGCTTCTGTTTTTCCCAGATGTGACCAGTGAACATCAGACCTCCAGAGAGCAGGAGATGGCCTGCTGCTTGTTGACACAGGTGTAATTTTTCTCAAGGGATTAATTCTCACAGAAAATGACAGACCAACTTCCCTGTGGGTGTAAAAGAGGGGCTGTGAAGTAGGAAAGCCTCCTTCAAATAGATCAGACTCACTCTCCACAAGGCATTACATTTGCACCTTCCTTGGTTAGGATCAAGGTACTTGCTTGGGCAGCTCTTGGCCCAGCCTCCTCCCCTTGGAGGAGTGAGCTGCACAGAGAGGAGAAGGGCCTTGCTCAGGCAGGGGCCAGCACCCTGCAAGGGTGACATCTAAAAATTTGCAACAGTAGGATTTAGCCTAGGAATATCTTTGCTGTTTATTCAATTTACCTAGTACAATATAGAGTTCATTCTGACAGAAAAAGATTGACCCAGGTTATATATAAAGATCACTTTGCAATTGGTTCCTGTGGCAATTTTTAGACTTTTTACTCATAGATTTCTGAACATCTCATTTTAGTCTGTTTTAATTCACAGTGAGGTGATGACATGGTAAGTGTTATGAGATGTTGGCAACTTTTCATTTCTGTGCCTGAAATTAGAGTCCAGAAGGAGTGAAGGGTGTCTCAGAATTGTTGTGACTTGTATCATCATCGTGCTGTCACATCAATCAAATCATGTCCATTTATGAAAAGAGAGTTCATTAACACAATTAAAAACCAAAAGTAAAATAAAAGTACCCCAGAGATTATGTGTTTCTTGACCTCCTTATGATCTGGTGAACTAATTGTGAGCCTGAAAATTTATTCATTGTTTCCAATGACATTACCCGGTCCAGTCAAATATTCTTCCTAAAGAAATGCCATTGCTTTCATTTATTTTGTTATTGGAAGAATCTACCAATTTAGGATTGCTATGTTTTGCAAATGCTTCATAATTTCTATTTGATATATGATGGTATTGCAAATATAATAGATTTTCTTTATAATCATAACCCTGGAAATACTTTAAGTCCCCAGAGTCAGGGAGTTTCTGACTACAAAATCTGCAGACGAGCTAAAATCCATCTCAGATTATGGTCCCAGGTTTGAAAGGTGAGGCATGGTCAGATATGTGAGGTTTCTAGAAAGAAGCCAAATCATCTGTTCTTGTTTTTTAACTTGTTATTGGCATAAACTTTAAAAAATATCTATACTTAAACCAGCCTGTTTTAACTTTACTGTTTTGTTTGAAATAATCTAATTAGGAAATTATGGGTCTCAGTTTTCTACTGCATTAAAACTTTTGAGCTTCATGATTAACAAAACTGGCAATAGATAACAGTATAAGCAACCTTAAATATATTTTGGTTAAATGAGTTCAGGATACATTTTCCTGAAACAAATTTGGCCATGTTCAATACGGCATTACATGTAAACGTCTGGAAAAATCGCCGTGTTTTTCCAAGCAGGAGGCATGAGATTTCTATAATCCATAGTCCCCACCACAGTATTAATTAGCATGGCTCACTAACCAGGGACATAATATTTGTAAATGAAACTCTAGAAGGGCATCAGTAAGGAACAGGATGTTGAAGCCAAATGGAAAACATGAACCAATAAAAAGGCTGAACTAGCTAGAAGTGCAAGCTCAGCCTTTGAAGTTAGTTCAAGTACTGCATGCTTTAATTTTGGTGTAATCTTATGATGGAGGTACAAACAAGAACTCAGAAACAGATTTTGTAACATTTGGCCCAATTGTAGATGAATCAGTTTGTTGATGGTTACCAACAATTGCACAGCCAGAGAAGCTGTGGTCTTTGTTAAACTAGATTGAATAATTGGCTTCAGTGGGAGTTTCGGGTGCAGAGCAAATGAAGTGTCACAGCCCTTGACTCTCGTAAGATTCCTTAGCAGAGGCTAAGCTTTTGCCTTCAGAACAACCTGAATATGGATTCAGAGAACATGAGTCCCTCAAGGGTTTATCTACTCATTCCCCTGCCCCAGTATGGGTCTGAACAAACTTAGTCATTCCTGGCAGATGTGCATACCTTATCTGTTTTAAGAGCCCCTCTGATCACAATAAGGATACCAAAAGCTCTCTGGGCAATGCTCAACTGTTGTCCCAGAACACAATCTTTGATTAGTACTACATTACCCTGGCAAGCCCAACTAAAACTATGTATTTCTTTGTTTTGGTTTTGTTATTTTTTTAATACACTTTCATGTGGAACTCCAGTGACAAAGCTGTGCTCTTCTGGTGTTTCACTCAAAAAAAAATTCACTGGTTTTTTTCCTTTGGACAGCTTTCTGAAGGCCTACTATTGCCAGGTGCTGAGCATCTCTGGAGACATGAATTAAGAGAACGAGTTTCAATACATTCAGCAAATTACAGGATCAGGCAGCCAGGAGTTAAGATGATCTTTGAACTTGAAAGTCATAACTGGAAAATGAACATAATCATACACACTCTCCTTTTTTAGATCAAGTACTCACTTCATTAGCTTGAAAATAGTAAATAATTTATTGTAGTCTTTAGCGAATAGCCCAACACATGCTGTTAATTACTTTCTCATTTGGGAGAAGAAACACAGCAAAAATTAATTTTTTTCCTGCATAGGCTTTCTAGAAGAACTCCCCAAAAATGCATTTATTTTTTTTTCAGCAGCCATGCAGACCTCTGGAAGGAGCCATATTCCTCAACAAAGCAAGTGTAATGGCTCTGTTTCTCAAATGCAAGTGACTACAGACACAAACATTGTAATGAAACACTTTAATTTCAAAAAAATAACACAGAGAAAAATGGTTGAAATATTGTATTAGAAAAAAAAATTATACATATACACCAAACTTAAGCCCTATGCAATTATGATGGTTAAAGAGTTTACCAAAGAAGGTAATTTTATGCATTTGTTGAACTCTGTATGTGTATATATATATAAATATATACATATATGCACATATACACACATATGCACATACAAAACAGCAAGGGTGTAAATTATTCTAGAGATGTGATAGATTCAATTCCCAAAGTACCATTTTCAGGAATGGTATGCAAGCCAATCAGAGTCTGGGGTTTACAAACCTAGTGCTGGGTTGGGTCTTGCAGCTGGGATGGAATCCATTGAGTTGTCTATGGATGAAAACTACTAAGAATGTTATAAGCTTGCTGGTTGCATTTACTGAGCTATAGTCACCATGGCCTATTGTAGTGAATAATTCCAGGGAAATCTCTGTATTTGCTCACTTAGTCAGATGGAGAATATTGCATAAGCCATTGTGTGCCTGTGCATTCCTTGAGTGTGATGCTGTGGTCTTTTTCTTGCTTGCCGTGTCATTTGTTTCATTTAACTGTCTCATTAATGGCAAAATTGCTTTGCTTTGTTCAGAAATCCTATTCTGAGAAGCAAGTATTACTTTCTTCTTTAACTTCTTGCCAACAAAATATTTTCAAATGCATGTGGTGCAGAGGAATTGTACAAGATAGTTTGAGAGCAAAAAGAAGTGTCTAAAATTAAAAGCACAAATCCACTTACTACATTCCCATTTTTCCTTTGACATTAAATGAAATCTTAACATGAGAAGTGCACACAGTTCATCAGCATACTCTGAGCAAATACATAATTAACATGTGGATTGAGCAAAGCTGTTGTCAACACTTTCACATATGTTACCACGAAACTAAAATATTTTAATTAGTAGAGAAATAGAGGAAAATCCAAGTAAATACAGCCTGTGCTTGACATAAAAATTAGCTTGACTCTATGAGTATTAAAAACAAGAGACTCTCATCTCTACTTTAAGTATCCTTACCATACTAGGACAGCTTAGTGAGTCCTGCTCATTCAAATCTGCTCCAGTGCTCTGATAAATAATTACTTGACAGAGGAGTGTCCACTGTGGTCATTGTGCAAATGCTTTACTAAATCATTGGTAGAAATAAAAATGTGTGAGTTCTATGGCAGGTCGGTAGAAAGTGTAGACTTTGGTGTTTTGTAATGATCCCATTTGCTGCACTGACAGAACCTTTTTTTGAAGGCTACATTATAAGAGGAGAAAATAAAAGAAAACTATGTAGCAGTACCATGTGGCTTCTGATTTGGGAACTACAATTTAGCCTATTAGACATGGACCTATTCCAAAAGTGCACATTCAGACAATCATGCATGAAGGAGTTAGAAACACAGATGTGAATTATAACTCCCTGAAATCCTGGGAGTGCTCAAAATTAGGTGGGTGTGAATTGTAAGTACAGATCCAGAGCTAAATTTTTTGTTCAAACCTGTCTTTCCCTAACATTTTTACAGCAACTATTGAATGTATTAAAACCAACAATGTTCCGTAAGCTTAAAAAAATACTAGTTAACCCCATCTTAGCTGTATTCAGACATGATTCACAATGTCTGGCTAAAAACATTTCTATAAAAAGGTAGTAACAAAAATCACCAGTTGAATGTAATGGGAGAGTTTAAATAGGTCAAATTTAAGCCAAATTACTGCAGTTTAACTGGCCACATGCAGCTTCACAGTGATCACTTTGACCCAGCATTTAACATTAGAAACATAAATAATTAAAGGGTTTTCTTTCCCGAGTTTGGGACAGAACTTTGGAACATCTGTTCTCTCTTCAGTCCTTTTTACACACACATGCTAAATCAACATTTCTGACTAGAACAATGGTGTTAGTTGGGACTGGGGCTGGCCATTTCACAAGCATACAAGAAGTAGAGGACGGAAAATGTACCTGGAACACTGAACTGGGCTAAAGGCACAGAAGGAGCAATGAAGGAGCACCTGCCATTTTTCAGTGCTCTCAACAGCAGGAAACCAAGGGGCCCAAATAGATGCAAATATCCAGTTCATTGATGCTTTTATCTGTAGTTTTCATTGCTGCAAGTTTCTGTTTTTTAAGTCAAACATGTTTGCAAAGTGAATCACTATTATTCTTCTCATGTGAATGATGTAGACGGTGTGGCACAAATCAGTCTGGCCTTGGCCACCCCATACTGTATAGCAAGAGAAACTGGGTCTGCTCCCCCCACTACTGTAACTGCAAAGCACCTCTCCCCATTGCTGATCTCAATATCTGATGACTAAAAACCAGATTTTCACACCTTGAAGGAGTCAAATGAAACCACAGTTAGTAGTCCAAGACAGTTCCCCATTAACAGGACTTTAAGAAATAGCCATTAAAAGGGGATCATGAGGAGTACAGAGGCAATGGCAGAGCAGCCTTGCACAGACTCAAAGGAAAAAGCATTTTGCCCCTTTTAAGTGGTCTGGTCATGGCTACTACCACTCCTGTAAACTGACAGAAGTGTGCACCTTAGTGACATAATGCAGCACTATGTAGTTTCAGGAATTCATCTCATGGTCTGATATTTTATGTCATGCAGCAGAAGAGAAATCAAAGCAAAATGTATAAAGCCCCTTCTGAAGCACAAAATCAGAGCTTGTGTTGATGGCAAAAGTATTTGAATGAGCAATTTCGGGACTACACTCTCAAAAATTATAAATTGCTTTAATAAATATGTCAGGTCTGATAAGAAAAAAGTGAAATACACAGTAATAGCATCTTAATGTAAATAATTATGAATTTAAATTACATCTTTAAAAATCCAAAATAATAGTTCTATTATTATAGTCCATTAATTGGGAGTAAACATCAAAAGTAAGCCTGAATGAGTATGATTGCATTGTGTATTTTAACACTACTAGCATACATCTATCCAGAAGTTTTCTAGGTTTGCAAGTTTCTGGAAAAGAGAATTGGTTTTATTATCTGTAACAGCAAACTTCCCAGAGAACTGCTGTTCTGCTGTAGAGACTTCTGAGTGTCACAAAGTGTAAGTACTCAAAATAAACAAGGAATAAATTTTAATTGTCTGAAGGGAGAGGTGCTGGGGTTGTTGAGAAAAACTTTTCTAGCTCTTTAAAACTGCTGAGTTCACATAGGTGGTAAATCAGCAACCTGAGAGAGAACAGATCTCAAGAGTAAGACAAAAAGACAATAGCAGTACAAGTGTTCTGAAGTTATATAGAATCACCATTCAGAGTAATAATGCTTAGTCAGTACTCAGATTCCCTGCTGGAACTGGTCCCTTGGGATGAGACTTAAACCACTATTCCATTTCTGGTGTATCACAAAATAGCAACTCTAGGGTATCTGCCATTGCATTAGATTAGATCCAGTAACCCAGAAATTTAAGGGTCCCTGTCTCTTAATGTATTCTCTGTTCAATTGCCCGGTATTTCTTTAAAATTGACACATAAAATGAAAATGATGATATGCCATGTAGCTCTAGCATTGCTGATACATGTGACCCTTCTCATTGTGTCCTGAAGACATGGCCTTGGCACTAAAACAGCGCACGTGTGTCTACATACACTCAGATGTTTCAGCTGCCACAGAGACAGAACAGCAAACTAGATTGAGAGTAAACTTCAGTTTGCAGCACTTGGTGTGAATAGGGCCAGTTTGAAAAATTCTATTCACAAATTAAGTACTTCTTTCTAAGTTTCATTAACATGTATAGTGTTAATGAACACAACTGTCTCGGACAGTAGTTTTTTGCATGAGGTAAATTAGCTGGTAAATTGTTGTTCACTAGTTGGCAAGGCTGGAACATTCACAAGGAGTTTTAGCATTTGTAACAAATATCTGGATAATATTTTTAATTTTTTAAGTAATCCAAGTATTACTCTTGTCAGAACTACAAGCATAAAATAAGCAATGTCTGCACATTACTTAACTGCCTCAAAATTCCATGAAGGCAAGAATACAGCAACACAAACAGCCTGCCATGCTCCAGCATTTGGTTGCGTGCACTGCACTGACCACAGCAGTAGAAGGTGGCCTTCCATGTGCTTTTTAGGGTGACATACATCACTGCATTTATGGCACTTCATGATTCTTTGCCTTTCACATTAATGAGTGGTAGGCCCCACATAACACCACATGTGCTTTGCTCACTACAAGATGCTGCATTCCAACCTCCTCAGATGTATTGAACATTAAAGTTTACTGCATTTGTGAAATTTAGGAAAACATTAAAAGCAGGGAAAGAATTTTATGTTTTACTCCCTTGTAGCTTCCACCAAAAACATATTTTTCAGGTAACTCAAATACGGAACGAGTGCAGACAGGCATGAAGCAAACTCTGAACCATGGGCAAAGCAGGAAATGAACCAATGATCTCCCTTGCTTCTCCTGTAAGAATATATGATCAGGACAACTACATCCATAAAAGAAAGTGTATTTCTTCCCTGCCAGCCTGTCTCCAGCAGGAGACAGTCCCATCCCTAACTCAGGGCTAATCCTTGGGAACGGCTCACTGGAGCTTGCTGATCAGCCTTTCTTTTACATGCGTTACACACATGTGGGGGAGAATGGAGCCAACAGCTTTGTGGCTGGGCACTGGTTTTTAAAGAGGTCTGAAGAATGTGGAGAGGTGTAGTGTCATCCTGTCTCTTGCCTAGTAGTTAATTCTTCCCCTGCCCCCTTTTAATTTCTCAATTAAGCCTTGGTCCTTAGTCCCCACATCTACTGTGCCCCAAGTCTTTTGGAATGCAGCATCTTAGAAACTTCTTAGAAGTAGGGAGAGCTATGCAAGAGCAACCCTCTGTTGACTAATGTCTTGGGACTAATGATATTGTATATAAGGTCCCAATCCCATCTGTGTCCTGAGAGATTTTAATCCTTTCTTGTGGGTCAAAACTCAGAAATGAGACAGAAGGTGAACTTTGAAACAGGAATCAGATTGAACTGGGAGGAAACAACAAGAACATCTGCCTCTATAATAACTCAGAGACCTCATGAGTTATCCTTGATGAACAGAAGCTGTGTGAATTGCATAGTGAGAGCACAGTGTGCCAAAACACCCTGCTTCAGGGCTGTCAGTTCAAGGCAGTGTTTTACTTATTCATTAGATCAAACACTGAAGAACTGGGCTTGATTATAAGATGTTTAAGGTGGAGACTACCTAGTAGTTTGCACCATGCATACTTCGGTGGAATCCCACTGCAATTTGAGCAAGGTGTATTATTAAATTATAAACACAAGAGCCAGTGTCACAATCAGGTTGAAATAGAACACATTGGAACATGTTTATTTTCTAGCCTCGATCTCCTGGTTCTTAATAATATTACAAGTCATCATCTTTGCTCTGGAATTGTAAGAACAAACCTTGCAAGCACATTACATTTGTGTCTCCTGGCCACCTCCATTGAATGTCTCTGCATTCTCTCCTCAGAGAGATTTTGATGTGCCTGAAAAGGTAACAAAATGTCATTGCTGTGTTCAGCCAGTTGGAATAATCAGAACAGTTCTTCAATTAATGCATCAGCTCAAATTGGGGAAATCAATTTATTGCAAATTAAATTTTGTAAGAGTAAGTCATTACTAATTCAGGTAGTGGGAGACAGAGGGAAAGAAAATAAGAACATATACACACTTAGAGAAAACACTTTTCCTCCATGTTTCCCAGGTTCAAGTTCACTCCAAGCACCTCTCCTCCCTTCCTTGTAACCATCACTGGTTGCACTCTGTCCCCACAGGTGAGGCACTGGGAAGTTCCTTCTTCCTACTCACTATTTTCCTCTGCTGCAACATCAATCCTCCACAGGCTGCAGGGAATATCTGCTCCATCACAGAGCACCTCCTCCTCTTCCTCAACTTTCTCCTTAACCTCTTCCTCTTACACCTTCACCTCTGCACTTGGTGTTTCTCTTTGTTCTTTATCACTCCTTTTATTTCTTCCTCCACTCTCTGGCTTTCTTTGCTCTTTCTGAAATGTGTTTCCCCAAGGTGGCCCCATCTTGGCTGAGGGATCAGCCATGTCCTGTGATGGGTCCTTGGAAGAAACTGGGACTGGCTGTGCCCAGCACATGGCAGCCCTGGCCTTTCTCACAGACCTCCTGCTGCCAGCCTTGCCACCTATCCCCAACAGACCAGGTGTGACCTGCTCTGTTACAAAGTGGAGGGAAGATGCCCCATCAAAAACATTCATGGCCTTGTGTAGCTGTCTCACCCTACCAGCAGAGTGGTCAGATCACTATAGGATAGCTGGCAGGCAAATTTCCAGAGGCATTAGAGAGTGGGCTGCAACTGAGCCTGGTGGGAGGGACCTCACAGGACCTCAACTTTCTCATTGTGTTAGTCTGTACCACAGCCTGGTGCCTGGCAGGAATGCAGCTCTCTGGTCTGGAATAGCCAGGGCTGGCTGGGCTGGGCTGGGCTGCAGCAAGGGGGGCAGGTGCCCTGTGGGCCCAGCTGGAGGCTTCCCAGCCACAGAGCAGGAGCAGAGGCCCTGCACCAGCACTCCACATGGAGCAGAACAGTGGTGAGAAGGCAAAGGTGTGTGGAACACAGGCACACCTGCGAGGTGCAGGAGGCCCCAGGTGGATGGATTACTTTAACTGCAACTTTAGAACATGGTAAGAGGACAGAAAGAGAATGGGAGGGAAGACAAGGAATGCTGCAGTTTTCTCTGAAGTCATTTTCAGAAAATGCTGCCACAGGAAGATTATTTTCAGGCACTTGAAATTTTAGGAGGACTAGTGAGGGCAGGACACCAAGTTGCCTAACATAGCAGTGCCAAGTACAGAATTAGAAGAGGAAGGAGGAGCAGAGAAGGAAAGCAGCAATATTCCAAGTCCTATTAACTTTTTTAAGTCCACCTAATTTCAACATTGGCTTAAAAATACTAAAAAACCAAACCTCTAGAGGATTCTTCCTTCTAGGAATTTAAGCCTTGAAGCAAAATCTGGTTTTCTGTCTTTATCAATTGTTTTTTTTTGCTGTCCCACTTCTTTCTCTCAGTCTAATATTTAATTGGCTTTGGCAGAGGTGATCTATTGCTAGTTCTGTGTCAGGTTCTTGACAGTAACTTCAGAGGGTCTGAGATTTCTCCAGTCATCTCATGTTCCTATTTAAAAAATCTTAACTGGAAAGCTTAGATAACCTAATTTCAGAGACTGCCATTTTGCAACAAAATTCCATCTGGTCAACATTAGATCCGCTAACCATGGCTGACATGAAAAATAAGCTTGTTTTCATATGGAGGCTGTACAGCTTCAGTTAAACATGATTTGGAGCAGGATAACTTGCTACTAATGAGCATCAGCACTGGCAGCAGGAAAACTGACTTTTAAGAATTCATATTTCAAAGCACACTTGTTGTCATTCTGGTACTCACTTCCTGCTTCTTGGGAAGATTCAGAATTTAGGCTTTGTAGGAATGGTGGCTTTTACAAAACTTTCAGGTTTCCGGGAGGACATAGACAAATAACCTGCATTTGAAAAAAAAAATTAAAATTATGTGAAACTGAAGGAAGTGAATATTACATAGTGCTATTGCTAGCCCTACTACTAAATGGATGTTTTAAATGAATAAACAAACAGGTCGTAATATCCTTGGCAAAGACTTACAAGGATATTCATAGCTGAAACAAGGATGAAGCAATGCCTCCAGAAACATACTGACAGACTGTGAGAAAGAGGTTTCAGTATCTGCTTGAAAGTTAGTTGATGAAGCACAAGAAGCCAGGGAGGTGAAATGTGTATGTAATTGCCACATCACTGCAGAATGAAGAAATGGCTTTATTCCTCTCTGCAGCAGGACCTGTGCTGTAAAGGCAATGCAAAGATACCCTACAACTTTTACTTTTTCTTTCTTAGAAAATATACCACTCATGAGTACAGCCCAGAGAGCAACTCCCCTACAGACAGCAAAAGAGAGCCAGAGGTTTCTGTACACAACTCCGAAGAAGAGCAAGCAAAGTCCTTGTACTGCAAGGACACAAGTACACCTATGCTCTAAGCTTGTCCTGCTCAACTACAGAGCTTGGTTAATAACCTGCAGGGAGTGATGATGATGAGGTTTTCTGCAGATCTTCTTGCCTTTTGATGAGTATTCTTTCCTGCTCCAAGGCTTCTATGTACTTGGAATAGGACCAGGAAGCCTGCAAGAACCATCAAAAACCATCAGCCTTCAGGTCACATCACTGTAGCTTCTGATCCATTTCAACAGTAAGATAAAAAACTTGTTTATGTTATATTCTTATTACTGGCTAATTACAAATATTAAGAAGATTTTTTTAAAATTACAATATTGGAATAATGGGGAAAAGAGTATTCCTGTAAATAAGTAAATCTCAAAACACCATGATTTAAGCAAGTTTGACAGATACAATGTTTATATTTATTCTTCATCCCTAGTCTGAGTGTTATTCTCTCTCCTTTCTTCTTCAAAAGCAAAGCAGCAGATCTTTACCCTCCCAAATATAATTTGTGCTATCAAGGACTTAATTTTATCTCTGTGCTACGCCCTTAGTCCTCCCCTTGGACTATGATTACTCTGTTTGACATAAACTCAAACCAGCAACTGATTTGTGGGGTGGAGAGGAAATACATATAAGAAAAGCTGTTTCTAGCTTATGTCCTTTCACTGAAGGTCTCATGAGCCTCACAGCTCCTGCCTGCCCTCTCCAGCAGAATGCTGCTACTGCTAGAGGCAGATCAACTGGAGATGCCATCCTTTCCTTTTCTAAGGATAAAATACTGCTTTTAAAGAAAACAATTACAGTTCAGATTGCATGTAAATAATAGGTTGCCTTTCCAAAACAGGATGAGAACTGCACTTTTATTTGGCCTGGTTTTTATCTTATGGCATGAGAAGTTTGGAGCAAATTTGTCATATCATGATGCAGTAAGAACTTCTATCACCTTGCTATTGTAGGAAGGGGCTTGCAGAAGGGCTTATTGTTTATTAAGCCCTCTTCTTGAGGGTTTAAATGTATACCAGGGATTTACCGCCTTGCTCAACTCACTTTTTTTTTTTTTTTAATAGGTATGAGCAAAAGTAAAAAGGTCCACTTAAGGGTAAGAGTGTAAGCTTATCCATGCAATTCACACTGTGATTTCAGATTTTGGGGGTATTTCACGGTACCTTTTTTTCTTTTCTGCTCTTCACTGCCATAATGTCGTGGGAAGAGCTCTATGGAATACAAGCAGTGGCCAAAGTGTGATTTACTCCTGATTCTCATGACATATCTGTGCTTATGTGGTTGCACAGGTTCCCTGTTATGCTCTGGCAATGCCAACTCAGCCATGAATGATCCCTTGATATGTCCAATGTAGCATGTCTGGTTTTCCCATTTCCAGGTAAAATAACCTGTTACCTTTTCACTACTGATTTGATGCATTGTCAGAGTTATGGAAGAAGTCTTGAAGTGGTTTTCAAATACCTAGATTTTCAAATACCAAGATTTTCTAAAGGAGTTCAGCTTCAGTTTTTGACATATGACCAGAACAGGACTCTGGCCTAAACCAAATTCTTTCAGGATATGAATTTCACAAATAATGAAAAGCTTCTTATTTGAGAACTGAACTACCTTTTCTTCAATTTATCTTTAAATATAGATTCTTTTTAAAATCCATACACCATAAGACCTTAACATTCTGTTAGCTGTTAATACTACTCAGAACCTACATCTTAAAAAAAATTAATAAAGAATAAAAAAAATCACCTGTAAGACAGGTAAACTTGAAACAGCAAAGCTAATTGTAGAGGAATGAACAGTTATTGAAGAACCATCTGACAGCAGTATTCAAAACCAAACTCCCCTTTCCCCTTTTCCCAAGATCATTTTATCTCTCTTGAATAACATCTGTAGGAACATGAATTATTTACCTTCCTCCCAGGTCCTTGTACAGGTGCTAAAGCTGCTGATGATCTTCTCTTAACATCAAGCTCATCTAGCAAAACACTCTTTGGCAGTTGAGTCAAGGGCTTAAGCTGAGTCAAGGGCTCAGGCTGAGTCAAGGGCTTGAGTTGAGTCAAGGACTTGAGTTGAGTCAAGGACTTGGGTTGAGCCAAATTAATGAGTTTTTTTCCTGCTTCTTTACCCTGCAAAAAACCTCATAATTAGATGTGAACAATAGTTACAGAGCTAAAGGAAAAAGCAAAGTATGAGGAACCAAAAATTGTCATTGGATATGAGATAGTGTCATTTGCAGTAATGTTTTGTAATGCTTAGCTTCATAATTCATCATGCTGAGCATATTTTAAAGTAGCAGCTGCTTTTTTAAAGCATTTCTTTGTTCCAGTTTATGTTTCCTGTCCTCTACACTCATACAGACATATTTCTTTCAGATTCAATACTTGCTCCAAAATATAGCTAGGTGACAGGTCAGATCTGCAACAGAACATATTTTAAGGACAGAGAGAACATTGTGAGCCTCTAATTTGGCCTCAGGTATAAATGTAGAGTGCAGGATTTGTCGTGATTAATTCCAGCTTGGTCCAGTAGCTGTGTATGAACTACAAGTATACAAGTTAGGAAAACAGGCAATGTACAATCTACAGTGAAGAACAAGGTATTGTAACCCTTGGCAAACTGCTCTGGTGATTAACTGTTTGTCATTTTCATGTTGGTTTGTTTCTCCTTTGCACATTCTGTTTGATGATCCCAAAACTCTTCATAAACATCAACTGATGTTCATATTTGACATCACAAAGAGCTCTCTCCAAGAGCTGAGTAATATAACCCTCCCATGTTCCAAGAGAGAAAGTGAGGGGGAAAAAAGGGGATCAAATTGTTCCCAAAGTCACTTAGTAAGTCCCTGAAAGCTCTGGAAAAGGTTCACTCTGTCTCATTTCCTTGCTCCCAAAGTTCCTTTTCCTTCGTCATAATGCCCATTGACCTATGAACCCATCAGCTGTAAGAGTGACTTTTGGGTACAGAGCTGCCCAGGCAGTGTGATGCTGATCTTCTCTGCAGAAACAAGCTCAGTAGCTTCTGTGGCACACTCATTTCGTGGAATGGGGATGCCAATGCAAACACAGAGCCATTGTGAATACTACTGCACTCAATGAGAATGGTGAATTAAGCAAGGTCTTTAAAAATGACTTCTCATAATAAATTAAGCAATGTTATAGTGGATTTAGATCCCATGCCATTACACCACTTACTAACAAATAAGCTTATCGCTAAGAGACATAGCAGAAACACAGAAAAGGAAAATAATGTTGATGGCTTTCTTTGCTAAGGACATGGAAGGAGAATGTACAAATCTACAATGTAAGTTAAAGCTAAAAATTTAAAGCTATTTTGTGCACTTGAAAGCAAAATAATCCAAAATCTATTTTGGAGATAAAATGCAATCATGTATACAACAAAATACTAGTACTGGCATCAAGGCAGTCTGAAAGAAGTGACATATATTGAAAGTATGTGGATGTGCATCTAGCAGGTAACAAAGGAAAAAGTCCATTGCCAGGATGAGTTCTACTCTTTGGTAGACTTTGCCCCTTAAATAACAAATAGGCACACAAAAAATATTGAGATAGTCAAACAATACCAAGTTATGCATCATTGCTCAGTGAAAAGCTCCTTGTCTGCCCATTTTTTCCACTATACTTCATGAAAGTCCAACTCTTATCTGTTCAGTTCTAAAGCTGAGGTGAGCACAGGTAGATTCGGTGCCCCAGGGACATGTGTAAAGGAAGAAGAAAGCAAATTCCTCCCCTAGGAGTACGATTGTTCTGTTTGAGATAAACCCAAAATAGCAACTGATCTGTGGGGTGAAGAGGATATATATATATATATATATATATAAAGTTGTTTCTAATCCTTGCCAGATCTTTGCTCTTGTTCAATGAGCCTGGTTGGGTAGAGGAAGATAGTCCTTCTTTGCCAAAAAATCATCACCTTCCACAAGCCAACAAGTGAACCTGCTGTTGCTCATGTTAGATGAAAGTTATCAGTATCCTTCAGGGATACTGCATCATTTGAATTATGCTGTCACTGAGAGGAGAGAAATCTCAAGATTTCCCAGGCAAGAGAACAGGAAATGGCAAATTCTTTAAACAATAACAGAAAGAAAAAAGGATTTTACTATACAGGAAAAAATTATATGTTGCACCCATTCTTTAAGAGATTTTAAAAGGTAACTGGTTTACTGATCTTTTTTTTTTGTGAGGAGAAGAATAGCGTACAAACTGTTTACAAAGCTGTATTCTCTGCTTGTCATTTTCTACAATTTCTTACTCTATTTCTCTGCTTAGAAGCATAATTCACCATTCCGATTTGCTCTCCATAAAAGCTAGGCTTTTGCCCTCCTGCCTAATATTTCTTCTTTATTCCTTGATCTTGATCAGAAATCTCATAGACAGGCAACAAACAGATGGAAAATAAGTCTGTGAAAATATAAAAGTTTGTTACTTTGAAATATTGCACTCTTGCACTATAAGTATTGCCAATGGCCATGGCAGACATATATATATGGAGACATTGTGCTCTGGAGAAAGTAAGATGAGTTCTTGGATTTTAGACTTCCCTTGACATCGCTGTGTGGCTTTGAGTAATGCTTCACTGGTCCTCAGCTTTCATGTGCATAAGAAAAATAGCAATGCATATATGTTCTTGTGGGCCTATGTATCTGTCCGGATACCTGTGTGGTTCACATCACGTGGAACATCTCCACACATCTACATGGCATTTAGAATACATCAAGGTCTCTGTAATGCTACTTATTATAGTCTGCAAGTCCAGTAATTTCTCTGTCCTTAAAAGAATGTTCTCTCCTCAAAGCTTGCCAAACAATTGTATTTAATAAAAAATAAACTTTTTCAAAGCCTATAATCAATCGAAAAAGAAGTCCATTATATTTTAATTTTAAAAATCCAAGAAAAACAATTTTACAAACAAGCATTCCATTGTAGAGGTCACAGTTTTGTTAATGTGCTGGAACTGTCTGGAAACTTGCTGTGAGCAGTCTAACAATTTCACTTTCATAGCTGAGAAAATATTCAAGCAAAGGCAAAGATTATGCAAATTAATTACCACATAAATATTTTTTTAAACAATGTGCAGAATTTTCAAATGCTCCTTCTGGAAAATAGATATTAAATCAATTTTGGTTTGGGTTTGGTTTGATTTCAGTTGTGGTCCAGAATGTAAATTCTAATATAAGACAATATCATGAAAGTGCAAACAGGTCTGCAGTAGCCCACAGTACACACAGAGTGTACACAGATTTATTGTTCTTAATTCAGCCTTCTTCTTTGCTCTTCTCTTGGCACAAAAGGTGACTAAAATACATTTTTTCCTCTGGTTAATGAAAGGAGTATTCCATTGACTCACCCACTTCAACTCAAACATATGTATATGTACTGGCAGAATTGGGAAATGATCACCTTAGGACTGGGTCGAGTGTAAAGCTTGAAATCTAACAAGATTAGGTAGCTTTGGATCAGGCTGAGAAAGAGGTATTTTATTTGATGTATCTTTGCTCATGTTATTCAGTTCATCAGCGGTCACCTGAAACTTTATGAGCCTTACCTTTGCTGTTATCCCTTCCATCTTTTGCATATCTTTTTCCTTTTTTTTCTCCAAGGACACTAGAATTTTGACACTCTCTGGATCACTTTGGAATTTACAAAATTCTGGCCAAAATTTAAACAGAAGAGCAAAAATACTCATCTGCGCAGGAAGAAAATAAAGTCAATCTTGACCACATTAAGGAAACAGTTGACTGTAAAATGAAATGCAGAATGAGATAACTATTTTTTTTGAACACACAGCCTTGTTCCTCCCACGTACTCTGTCCTGACATTTCAGCCCAGCTTTGCTCAGCACATGCTTTTCATCAGTGTGTTTATTACTGGTGAGAAATCTTCCTAAAACACAGTTAAAAGACATTTTCTTTTTTTACATTTCCCTAAACAATTGTTTGCATTAATGAAAACATCCATCATTTTTTACAAGTATTCTTGATAAAATATACACCAGTAGAATTGCTTTTGCACCACTGTTCTGCTCAAGTATTTCAAATATTCAGTTCATTAGGGAGAGGGCTTTTTTTCCTTTCCTTTAAGAGAAAGGAAATACTTTTTTGCCTCTGGAAAGGCTCTTAAACCACATTACAGATCTATGAGCAAATCTTGGATAATTTTTAAATGATATAATCTCTCACAGGGTCATTTTTGAACTAGAATAAGAAAAACAATTTTAGAAAAGCAAACAGAGGGGCTCAGTGAATTCTGTTGCTGCACGTACTAAGGCTCACATTTTTCAATTTATTTAGATGTTTAATTTGCATTGAGAAACTTGGCTTCAAAGCAGCCAAGCATGCTCACTGCTTCTGGCTCAAAAGGCTTGAAAGGGACATGTAAGCCACTGTCGGGTTCCAGTCACAGCTTTTTGGCCTAGTTCTTCCTTTGGTTTTGTGCCAGATTTCTGGAGTTCACTGGGTTTTACACAGGCTGAAATGAGACTTCTCTTTCTCTTAGGACCTATATGAACCCTTTTCTCTGACAAATCATTCATCTCTTGTCATCCAAACACTTTATGGACTCACAGTTGATGTCTAAAGGTGTCAGTGGGAATTTTATAGGAAAAGAACAACAACTACTTTTCTTGGACTTAGAAGATAAGACAAGGCAGTATCAAGGGATAAGAAAATAGTAAGTCTGTAGTAAAGTTCCAAAATTGCTATTCAACCTGATAATTAGAAATATCAAAGAGAAAATTTTCTACAGCCATTTAATACACACTTTCTGTAATAAAGGAGGGAAAGACATTCAGCAAGTTAAGCTGTCTTTATGCTTGACTCACATCTGCATTTTTCATAAAACTTGAAAACCACAGACTTTCTAACTACAAATTACTTCTGTGACATTAACCAAGTGGTAAAGAACAAGCAATTAAGAACATAGACAGAATTCATTTCTACTGCCAGAATTCGTAACACAGACCTGGATAACACCTTTCCAGGATCAGCTAGCTGTCAGAGATTTTCTTTATTGAGCAGGATAAATCTGAAGACCTTACAGTCACTGAAATATATGACTGTAGCTTTCTCCTTCAAGCTCAAGCTTGTGTGTGGAGTCCTAACTGTCACATCAGCAATGAAGACTGTTCTTAAAATCAGGCAGTCAGTCTCTGGCCAGACCTATCACTCGGCTTCTTACCTGTGCCTCTCTAAAAATGTAAGGTCCTAGTTCTTTCCTGTGCTCCACAATCTTTTTTGCTTGTTCAGGTGGGATGTCAATCTGCAAAGCTGGGGGTATGGCAGAATTAATAAAGCAGTCAATAATAGCTGTGATCTTTCTCTGAACTATGGCATCATCACAATGAGAATGGCACAAGTCCTGAAAGATAAAAAATACCATTTTCAGTCAATGGAGAGAGACACAGGCAAGAACTTTTACAGGGCACCAGTCATCAAAGAGCAATAGTCAAACAAAAATAATTATACAATAAATTCCTTCAGTATGCAAGGCAAAATTCTTTTGGTAAACGTGCATGGTCAAAACCATACTTCAGACATGCATGAGGCTTCTGGTTTGCAAATGCAGATACATAGCAATCATTGATTTTATGTGATAATTTCTGCCTGCATGTTTGGATATAACAGCTTAGATTTTAAATGCATTACTGGCAAATAGACATTTCTGAAAAGAGAAACACATCTACAAGTGTGAAAGGCACTGATTTTCACAATGAGCCTGCTATGACTTGCATAGCCATGGCAAATAAAAGATAAAGAAATGCTCCAACAAAAGAGGGAAAATATTTAGAGGATACTAGATATTCTAACTAGGAGTGTTGTCACAAGAGAGGACACTGTCAGCTACCAGTACAATCTTCCATTTAGTGAAATCTTCTACTTTCACCATTCATTAAGATTTTCTAGTTTCCCAAAACCTCAGGTTTTGAAATAACTCTGTACACTATAGAATACAAAGCAAACCTGAACTTACAGGAGTGAGATGTCAAAGGAACACTGGGGTTTTCTATTTTTTTAATGTGATCCTATTGTTCTTGTAAAACCTGTCATTGCCTGTGTTTTGACACCCTGATGATGCCACCACTGGACTTTTTGACATGAAGGAAAAATAATTCAAAGAGTGTCCTTCCAACACTTTGAAACACGAACTTTCTCTTTATCTGTATATTTCAAGAAATTAATATGACACTAGAAGACTATCGCATATATCTTAGAGACACAATGACCACTCAAGAGTTGTCAGGAAGAGAGCTCTTTAAATGAAGAATTTTAGTTTTGGTACAGAAGGCTACATATTTACTTTGCAAAGAAATTAAAACCATGACTTTTAAACAGAAATGTGGTATGTGAAAGAGCTGGCTTGCTTTGTTATGAATATTTTTAGTTTTGGGAAGGAAAAAAAAAAGAATGATAACAACTATAATAAAGAAAGTAAGGTAATGCAAAAACATATTAAATATATCCTTACTATATATATAATGGCTTTCTTTGCTCATCTAGCACAGAAGGCAGAGAGCTGTAGTATGAGGGAAGACAAACAAGCCATATGATATGAAGAGAGTTGAGACTGAGCATAGATAACAGATGGAAATGATCCACAGAGTTATGTTTCTTCATATTTGTTTTTAAAAAAAAATCTTGGTTTTGGATCGTCCTGAGATGTGCCTCCAGCCTGATGGGTTATGGGAGCAATGCAGACACTGACAGCTAAAGGGAGTTCTGTCTAAACTGATGGCATGATAGGGCTCAGACAATACAAGTATGCACTGTGCAAAGTGCTGCCCACGCCTTTGGCAATATTCCTGCAGCTCAGCCTGACCCACAACACTCCTACTACTCCAGCCCTTTGCTTCTACAAAGAGCATCAACTGCCAACCATGACATTGCATGCATGGAGAAATCTGGTCAGATTCTACTTTTTCTGGATAACAAGACAAATAAAATTAACATAAATGCAGGAAAGGGGGTGGAACAAAAAACAATGAAGGCTTTCTTCAGAGAGCAGTTCTACAAAGAAAAGAATGAAGAGCATGCTCCACATTAATTTGCAGAAAGTTTCCATGTCCTCCATAATGTAGCAACGAAGAGTCACAAGAATCAACAAAACTTCAAATATCTAGAAAAGGATTTGTGTCATGGAACACCAGGTACCTTCATGTCAGAGTTTTAATCTAAGGTAATCACTCTGTAACCATGAGAGAGACAGCAGCACCCCCAGAGAGCATTTCAGCCAGTGATCCCTTGCCTGGAGATCAGAACCTTTGTGGGGAAGAGAGATTGTCCCCTGGAAACAGGAGGAACTTCACCTTCTAATGCAGACATCGAATTCAAATTCATAAACAGTGAAAGCACACCCACATACCTGCAACAGATCTCCAAGTGCTACTGCAACAGCAAATGTGTTTACAGCCCAGTTTCTGAGCACGTTAGCTAATCTCATGCTCCCTGCCTGCCATGTGCACACAGGCTATGTTCAGGAGCCCAGTAGAGGTTCTGCACTCTGGTAGCACTTTTGCATCAGGAATATCCCAGAGGCAAAAGAAATGAGGAACACATGAAAGATCTGTGGTGACCCTGCATTCAGTCCAGGATATTCCTAGGAGGCTGCTGCATGTCTTAAAGTTTCACTCCAGACGTTTTCTATCGTATTTCAACCCTCACAAGCAATTTCACAAAACTAAATATATATGGGAGGGATGTAATCCCTGCTGACCTTTCTCATCACATTTCACTTTGGTCCCAAGCTCAGCTCAAGTCAAATTTGATTCTGCAAAGTGCAAGGGAGCTGTGCTCTGCATTGTACATATAGGGGTTTTTTGATACCATCTTTATATCTGTAAATTTGATTGAATTTTAAAGTTATCTCTCATTTTTGAGAAATTACCAAATTCAGATTGCAGCTAAAAGGACAGAATGAACATTTTAATGCTTGCATATTTCTACTGCTCAACAGATGTATACCAAACTCTGGGCATTAGCAAGATAGCGGTGTTCCTTTAGAGACTCAGAAGAATGCTACGGTTTGAAGAAGCATAAAGAAATACAGGGATAATGCTTTTGAGTCAAGAATAGCTACCCTTAAGAAGTGAGAATTTTCACTGATGAAAACAACAGTTTAAACAATGAAAGAGGCTTTACTATAAACAACAGAATGCCTACAGATATTTTTGTTAAAATTCTCCTAATGTGCATGAATGGATACATTTGCTGACAAATCGAATGCTATTCCCTTTGCTCTGTTTTACCACCCTACCTTATACTTTTGCACCTCTTGCCAAAAGAGCACTCCATTCCCCAGGAGGTCTCCCTTCTGTGCCACAAAGCGTTGAAACAGATTTGCTGTCACTGGATCCAAGAGCGCCTTGCGGAAAGCAATTATTTCACTAGATGAAGAAACACTCTTATTGTCCACATGCTGTCAAAAGAAAAAATAGATGCACCAAATAAACTTTGTTTCAAAAAGCAATAACAAAGGCATTAGTTAGTGTAAACTATCTGATTCTTATCTTTGCACTGACCCTAACTTTCAGTAGTTTATGAGTTTATGACAGGGATACAATAAAATGTGGCAAGGTTTCATTTCTTCCTTTCCTTTTTTTTTTTTTTAAGTTTGGTTTGGGGAACATTTCTGGGAAGATATGATGGAGAGGAAATGACTGACAATGATTTAGACCATATGACTGCATACTACAAAGTATAGAAACAGCTCTTGTTATTGATTATGGTAATGGGCTACTTTTCTAGAGAACAGTTTGAGTTTTATGCAAACAAACAACAAAGGAAAAGGAACACACAAACCACACAGCTTAAAGTTGTAAAATGCTTTTGACAGGGATCTCACCAACAAAATGAGGTTTGAAATGTGTTGCTATGATCACCCACAGAAGCCAGAGACTTTGCTCTCCATGAAATAAAGCTACCAATAGCAAAATAGAATTTAAAGTCATTGAGACATTTTGGAAATCCTCATGCTGCCAAGCACAGAACAGTAGGCAGCCAGGAAAGGGTGGGGAAAGAAAGATGGCTTATGCAGGGACAGTTTGTTTGAACTGAAGTTCATGCTGGCCTGCCTTCCTGAACAAACAGTTCTTGTGCTGTTGCTGAACAGCAAGCCAAACAACCCCCTTTTGTTATCAGATGGATGGATGAATGAAAACCATCTTCTAAAAGTGGTTTAAAACTCTTGAAGTCCTGGAAGGGTGGAGTGCTGTTCAGTGGTGAGCATCGGTCAGAAACATTTTTAGTTGTTGCCAACAGTCCTGGAAATCTAAGCTGATCCTAAGCTGAAAGGGTTTCTGCAACTTATCTTAAAACCAGGGGTTATGCTCAGTCCTGTCACAGAGCCTGCCAGGGGTAACAGCCTACCCTGACAAGGAGGGTGGTGGCTGTCCAGAGGTTCCTTTGGTGAAAATAAAGTCAGCTCAATTTAGGCAGTAGGGTTGGATTTTCCAAGCCCTTCTCCACTTCTCCAAACATGTTCTATTCCCTGTGACCAGAATTTAGGGAACTTTTAAGAAAAAATATTTCTAGGGCATATTCATGAAGGGAAGAACAAAATGTTGCTTCCATCCTTATAGCAGTATGTAAACACGACTTATTTTATGGGTCAACAACCTTGAAGCAGAACATGGAGAATAATCATCTCCCTGACAAACAGGCAAAGGGAAAACTCACTTAACAGAACCCACATGCACTTTGGATCCCTTTTGTGCTGATGGTTTGCATGGATAATTGGTGACCAGGTCTCTAGTTTGATTTCAACAGACAATAAAGGTTCAACTGAACAAATGTACACAACTTGTATGCTGGCAATCACAAAAAGTTCACTGCTCTTCAAGAGGAAAAAAACTTGCAAACATCTGATGAAATCTATTATTACAAAGGTTTAAAAAGTTTAAATTTGATATAATCTCAGTGCTGTGAGATTAAAATACAATTCTAAATGAAACAGATACTGTGAGATATGATTAAACCTGCCCACTCTGCTGCATATTTCACATTCCCTTTTGTGTCTGCACGTAATCCACTTGCAATAATAAATAAACTACCAGATGCTGGAATGAACAGCTTGTCCAAATAAGTCCACTGCATGCAAAACACAGATAAATGTGAATTAAAGGTACAATATTAGTTTAAGGAGTGTTAATAGTGCTCCAAAGCCCAGGACAAGAGACCTTTATTTTCAAGTATGACCTCTCCAGACAGAAAGGGAGAGAGATTTACCATGAACATCCAGCAGGGAACTAAATTCAGGAGTAATGTGAGTAATCAGTCCACTGTAACCAGTACAGTCATGATTGCTTTTAACAGCATTACATTTGGGCCTCACACTGTCAACAGGGAAATTGTGAAAAATGTGCAAGGGTCAAATGAAAAAGACTGTGAAACTGCAGACACAAGAGACATAGCAAATTTCACTCGCCTTCCACATCCTGGTTGTCTTTTGCTGGTCTTTGTGTGAAAGATCTTCAGTTATATCCCTTATCTATAGCTGAACAAAATATTATTATTCTATTTTTTAAATATTCTCTTTTTTTGGTTAGCCTTTTAATGATTAAGACCCCAGTGGTAAAACAGTTTATATGTCTTCTTATGGATTTTATGTCTGAAACTTGTTGTGGACCTGCACAGAATGCCATCCCTTCTTCAGCTATAAATGAACACCTGATCATTAAGACTGGGGAATTAGAGAAGACAAGAAGCAATACCAGTCAAACTGTGCACTCCACTGGTGGTGGAGTTTACTTCACCCATAATGTTCTAAGGGACCAGTTATGTGAGGAATAAATTTTGGGTTTGACTTTTTTTTAGTATGAAATATTTTTAGTTCCTTTGTACAGCTGTATCATAAATACAGACTTGATCCTGCAAATTCTTTGTAGCTGAATTACACCTCAAACAAAGGGCAGGTTTCCTGAATAAGGACTACATAGCATGCCCACACTGTTTTGTCACTGTGAAATATGAAGCCAGTGGAGAATGTCATCTGGTTTCACTTCTTCTAAAATACTTTCTTCAAAGAATCTTTTCATCCTCTGAATTTTCAATAAGAAAGAGAAAAAAGAAATTGGACATAAATGGAGTTAGGAAAAGACTAAAAGCTCATTAGAACTATGTATTTCCTGTAAACTGTTTATTTGAATACAGCATTTTCTAAACTACTTGGGCTAATCTCCCTGCCAACACAGTGCAGCAGGTGCAAAAAGAGGAATGAGTTAGCTTCCAGACCTGGAAGCAGCTTAGCCTCATTGGTCTTCTGCCAGGGCTTGTAAAGGAGGCAGAGTTCAGCTAAAAAAAGGCAGAGGGTTAGGATTTTTTAAAATTTAATTAACATAATCAGTGTTAAAATTATAGTTTCAAGCAATGCAGTTGCATATGTGTCTGCTTGGTTGAACTTTGAAGTTTCCCTCTGCTATGACATTCACATGTCAGAGCTGTTATGGAAGTGCAAAACACCAAGTCTTTGCCTCTGCCCACCAGCAGGATGATCCCCTTACGTGGATCACAGCCACAGAGGCACTCATAAAAGGCAGATGTTAGCTCTGCCGATTCCTCAGTCTCCCCAATGAACCAGCAGGAGTGAAAGGCTCCTCACTCCCAGCTTTCTGGCAGCTTTCTGAAGTAACCAATTGGAGCAAGGCTTGTAGCAGTTAACCTCCCCACTCAGAAGAATTTCACAAGTCCTGAAGTCGATTCTGCAGGCATTGCAGCTCCAGATGGGAGAATATGGACAGCATAAGAGAAAGAATTACGGCATGGGAAGCTCACTCATTTGCTTGTGTCTTGGTCCCGTTGGGAACATTCTTTACACAAAGCAGTATTTCTTCAGTGTGCAACTGCATGGCTAAGGCAAAATGGCATAGGGAGAGTGTAGCAGTGCAGCAAAAATTAGGTCACTCTCCTGGCAGGCTGGATGGCAGCAGAGCTAACACCAGCTCCTTCAGATTTGGTATCTAACAATAATACTGTCAGCTAAACTAAGTCTTCAGATGAACTGCCTTCACACTTACCAAGATAAATGTTTCAACCTGTACATGCTACAGCACCTCTTTCAATGTAAACTAAAAGTAAATTGTGGGCTGCTTTTCCTCTGAACCTTTCTACCCCAATGGTAAATTATGAGCCAAACAAAAAACAATGCCTGTATGTGTTGCTGTTGTTAAAAAATTACCTTTGCTTCTTCCTCTGCCCCACGGTGTTCTTCTGCCAGGAACAATGGCAGCCATTGTTTTTCTAATCTCTTTTGGACACATTGCTGAACTTGTAGCAGAGCCTCTGCCGAAAGCTGATCATGAAGGCTTTGTCTCCTTCCTCCACCTGAATGCATTAGCTAAGCAATCCAAATACAATAACACATGACATAAACGTTTGTGTATACCAAAAGTCCTTTATCTCTCTACATCCTTGATTTAGCAAAGCATGAGCTTAACTGTAAGCAAAGCACTTAATGCATGCTTACCCAAGGCTCACATGTACTTTTCATAAAAGGGAACAGATTACATTTGTCCCTACCTATAATAGGATACAGACTCTGGTGAATAATACCCCAGCTTGACCAAGTAAATTGCCTAAGTATCAAGATATATCAGAGCACCACAGCTCAGACTTGCTGTCTGTGGCTTTACTGACATACTAAAATAGAAAACTGGAACAAATCACTGTGCCTGAAAGTCATTTTTACACTTTTTCTGAGCCATCTTGTGCATGCTTTGACTGTGGCCTAGATCACAGTTCAGGAGAGATGTTCTGTAAGAGGCAGGGAGGAAAACCCTGAACAGGAAGGAAGAGACCTATACAACCATAATAGAACCATACTTGTGGCCAAAAATATAGGCAAGATTTGAGGAGATAGCTTGGAGAAAAGCTGGAAAAGACCCACTTGTGGATTTTTATCTCAGTCACAGTCACAGTGACTGTTCTTTATGAATGGCTCTGTGACTGCTACCTCTTCTTGTTGTTCTCTGGTAGCTGGGCTGTTGGGTCCAAAGAAGTACTCATTGTTTAAGAACTTGGTTTTAATGTCTTTCGATTTTTCATCACTTTTTTCTTTATCCTTTTCGAGCATCTTTCTGAACTCTTCAATATCTAGCCAGCACATGAGATCCATGCTACAAACAAATTTAAACAGAATGTTATTTCAATATTGAGTTAATTTCATCAACATTCTAGGGAGTTATTAGTTTAACCACAACTATACCATACCGAAGTATTCAAGACCTAAATACCAGGTCAGATTGGGCTGAAATTTTATGTCATTTTTTCTCTGCTAGTACCATCTGCTGAGACCATGGCACTTGCTGAACAGGCAGAGCAAACTTTTATCTTAGAGATCTCACTTAGGGTCCCATCTGGGGTACCCTGAAAGGAGTAACCTCCTCAATATGCCACTGCTAAATCCAGCAGGGACTATGGACAAGAACCATTGTGCAGAGCTCACAGAGAGAATGAAGAGTGAAGCAGATAAGAATTTGAATCAGTATTGAGGCTGCGAGGCCCTGAGAGATGAGCTGACACCTCCTGCTCTGCCTCCTTGTTATATTGCCTGAGAAAGGAGCAGGGATGACAGCTGGGAACATCAGCCCAAGAAATCACCCCCTTCCTGCCCCGTGTGAAGTGCTAGAGTTTAAGTCAGTCTGCAGCTGAGCAGATAAAAACAATTAATGGCAAAATTTGTTTCTAGGACTTTTTGTGGGCTGCTTTCTCATAAATTACCAATTCTATTACTTATTTAATTGGTGACAAATCATTTCAATGATGCAGTTCTCAATCTATATATTGTTCATAATGTTTGAGTGTACACTATAAATTTAAATTTGTTTTCATAGAATCATAGAATGGTTTCATTCTCTAAACCAGACAACAGAATAAATTACATATCTACAATTTCAGTTTAATTTATCTGACTGTTTTCTGACAGTATCTTATTAGCTGAAGTTATATGAACATTTTAGTGAGTACATTCATTGTATCTGCAGCAGGAAAAATGAAAAACTGAATTCAGACAAATCTGTTTCAGTTTTCCATTTGGTTAATAACTGGCTTTTTCAAAACATTATTCTATGAGTAAAATGTTCAAAAGCATCTGACTGATTTAAGAACAGATGTTCTCCTTTCAAAAGTCTTTTGAGACCCTTACAGAACCCTAAGTTCTATTGAGACTGAAATTCTTTCATTTGCTAGTTCATCACAACATGACTAAGTTCACCCAAATGCAAGAGATCCAAATTACTGTGGTTTATGGTGTAACTCCTTGGCATCTACCTATGAAAACTGACCAAATATGTGCATCTTTTTAAAAAGTAAAATATATAATCTTCAAGTGTGTCAGATAAACTGTTTAGTGGTGGCTTATCCTGGCATAGTGGATCAGGAGCACATCCACAGTCAATTAGCCTGGCGGGACTAACAAGCGGTAATTCACTAACCCGAAGTAACACAAATTGTCCTGCAATTGTGTGAATATATCCTATACATTTAAAAAAGTATTAATTAATGGAGCTTTGCTTAGTTTCTTACCAGAATTTGTGCACAGGCACTCAGCAGCCTGTGCTTCCTGAAACTTGGATCACTTACATTTGGACATTATCAGAACCATAAGTTTTGATGAAAAGGCAAATGACGTGTTTTTTCTGACATTTTCCAGACTGCATTAGTTCTAGGATCCCTTCGGCTTACAGTACCATTAAGCACCTTTATTGTAGCATGCCAGCTGGACTCCAGAGTAACTAGTCTGGACCCAGCCCTAAAACACTGTTGAGAGACTTTTTCAAATGTTTTTCTTCATTATGAAGGTTTATTAAAAAAAAAAAAAAAAAAAAAAAAAGCTCCATAAATTAAACATTTCTCTGCCTGGTTCTACCACTTAAAATTAGACTTGTCTGTGATGAACAAAGCAGGAAATACCAGAGACAATTCAGCATACCTGTCCATGACCTGTTATCTGCTGATTCCTACCATTTCCCCAATGAACTAGAGAGGAAGTCAAGACTAGTGGTCTCTGAACCGCAGTATGTGAAGGGGGTGTCCAAGACCATTTGTTGAGGGGCAGCAAGAAAATATTAAAACTTTAGTAGCACATGTATATAGTGTATAAAAAATTATATATAAATACATACACACTAGGGTTCCACACTCAAAAAGTTTTTACTCATGAGATGCATGAGCAAGAAGTTTGGAGACCACTGCTCTAGACAACTAACTCAGAAGTCACCTGACTACAGGCAGCTAGACCATAAGAATTTGCATCTGAACTCATTATCTGCAGTCCTTTTGTAGTCAGTAATCTTAGGAATAATCCATCCAAACTGGTTTTAGATTTTACCTTCAGAATTAGGAATATTGTGTCAGAAGTGTATATTCTTGTCTCTCTGACTGCAAAGAGAACCTATGTGATAAGCAGAAGTGATGACATTGAATCTTGGCCAGAGGAGTTTTGTGCCAGATGCCCCTTTCTGGGCAGTTTTGAAAAAGCTGACTAATATCCAATGTAAAGCTATAGCAGTGCTTGACTAGAAGCAACAGTCAATACGCAAAGCATCAACTCATGGGAAACCCGACTAAACGGAAGAAGCAACAATTTAAAGAAAAGAAAGAGTATCAGCTTCTGTTCAGATCTTACTTTTAAAACAAACAGGCTCACCTTTTCAAAGACCCTGCCTAAAATTGTATCTGCTACAAGCTAGTACTTAAATCTGCTCAACAGACACAAAACTGTGGTTGCTGTCACACTGTGACAATAACATGCCTGTTTTCTATTTGTACATTTTTATAATAACCAGCTTTAATTTTTAAAATGTACTAAATTGAATCTGTACTAAAAAAGACAAAATTTTACTCATTATAGGCTAATTGTTCTACTCATGGGTTTGCCACTAATCAAAGCAGAAACTGAAAACAGAACTGTAATACAAATATGTTTTGACAGGAGAATTTTTACCCCAAACATGTTAAGACAATTCAGTTGTCTGAACAATGTGTCTGTGTGCTTCATAAATATGCAAAAACATTTTTTAAAAGACTGAAATCTGTCAACATTTAGATAGCCAAGATCATTAGCACATATTTCTTCTGAACTTAGAAACAGGTAAAATAACAATAATGAAGAAACATACCTAGCAGAATGCTTATCAAGAAAAGCCTGGAACTGTTCTAACTTCTCTTTGTCATGGATCAGGTCAGACAGATTAGGACCTGCCAATTCTTTGGGAACTTGATGCAAGTGCTGATCTTCTTTGAGAGCCCCCGTGTCAGCAACAGTACTCTGAGGGGAGAAATTATTTTGCTTGCATAACTGCTTTTTTCACCTCTGCATTTTGCTCAGTCTAATAATCCTTGCATTAGATAACCTATCTCTGTAAAACAGCTTTCTAATCACTAAGAAAATAAATTGAGTTAAGGCTCCAGCTCCTAGCAAGCTTTACTTTTATGTTTGCTTTAAACATATCAGTGTCTGCAGGTTCCATAATCAAATAATCCAATATATACCTGTAATTCCCTTGAAATGGAGGCATTTACTCAAGAGTAGAGGCCCAAAACACATTCCACAGACTTTAGGTCTGATGTTGATGGAACTGACAGAAGACCTGTGTATCTAATTAACACAATGGCTGTCAATCAGTCCCCAAAATGAATGGTAGAAATCTGACTATTTGCTTCTCCAATCTAGCATCTAGTCAGCTTTTCATTGCTGATACTCAAAGTGTGAACCCTCTCTGACAGAGAAAGGGTTTGTTTTTGTTAGTAGGTACTTGTCTTACCTCATCCTTCTCGGAACTCACTTGATGCAAAGCCTGGAGCTCTCTAAAGTACACGGAGTCCAGCTGTTGAGTTTCTTCCACCAACTCCACCTAATAAAAATAATATCTTGTATCACCCCTACAGTACACATTATAGAAAGATGGAGAACTACATGGGCATTTTGCCAGTGACAGCGGATGGAAAAGAATACATCTGTCAGCGATGAGACTGATGTTTAGAAGAGACAAGAAGTCACATTCTTGTGACAAACAATTCTATCAATAGCTCTGGTAGAACACACTTTTCCCATCTGAGTAGGCTCAGATGCAGATTTCTATAGATAACTACTAAATCACCTAACTATAACTTTAGGCAAATTGATTCAAAATTTGCTAAATTCTAATGTGTACATAATATATTGTGTATGTTTTGCATATATTATATTGTGTATATTGGATCAGACATACCTGATTGCCTGTACCAGCAAATTGTATGCCAAACTGCCACTGAGAAGCAGAAAACCAGTTCTTAAAACTAGGACTCTCAAAGGGAAATGTCAAGAAGACAGAGTGCCACAGATTTAGAGAAACACAAATTTAAGTTGAGAAAGATGTTAAAATAGCTAAACAATAAAGATGAAAGCATTCTGACTTTCAGTCTTGTCCTATTTCTTAAATTATTAACTGTGTGTGATTTGAATCCATGAAGTTGGCATTTTTAACTTAATTAGAAGCTGTATGTAACTAGAGCAATTCTTCAGTTATATACAAACAATCAGTAACTGTGAAAGAGATATTTGGTGACCTTCCTTGCTGCCTAAACCATTTTAATGCAGATTTTAGGATATTTAGCAAAATCGAGCCAATGCCTTACACTGATCTGCATGCCCATTACAAAGATTAGAGAGCTGTGATTGTCTTATACAAGTGTTAATGCGCCAGAGAGAGAAGAGAATGTTTAGAAAAATATTCATTACATTTTCATCTAAATGTGAATACCACACTAATCACTGTGTTATCTGAATGTCTTCAAGCTCAATGTAACTTTATTCCATTGTTATAAGGTGCTTTGGGCTATTCTTTCCCTTACAAGAAAATATAGTTTAAAATTAAATAGTAAAACAATTCAAAACATTTTTCATAAAGTTTAAAGAGAAAGCAGATAGAGGCAGAATGAGAGTCAACAGTAAAAAGAAACACTCCTGATTTCATGCTTCATTTAAAGAACAAATGTAGATGTATTGAATATGTCCCAAATGAACAATTTTGGACTCACCTAATTCTTGATAAAATATCTTGTTTCATTATGGGCCAAATATGTCCTGATATAGATTAGAACAAAGGGGAAGAGTAGAGCCAGGGACTGAATAAAATACAAAGCAGACGTTGTCTTTGTGCTTGGGAAGGAGTGTGCCTAACTATCAGCCTGCAGCTAGTACAAAGAGACTCTAGTGCCTCCTAGAACAGGTCGTTTAATGTCTTTGTATTGTAACTCTTCACAAACACTTGTATTGTGCAGTCAAAAGGATTTTGTTGGGTTTTTTGTGCTCAGATTAAGATCTTTGTGTTGTTAGAGCACTAAGAAGTCTGCACGTTACTTCACTTGCAAAGGAACACATCCTCCAAACTGAAAGGGCAAGAGATTATCCTGTGGTTAACTCAAGGAGATATAAACTGATCACACATATTAACGGAAAAGTATATCTCTTCAATTCTTACTTTTCACTAGAAGCAGTGAAAACAGAGAGCTCTAAAGCAGACTCCTTCTTATGCAAAAACGATGTACAGAACCCTCGGCTGTGCTGATGATTTGACTCAGTGAGGACCGGCAATAGACTCTAGACAACCCTTACAGATAGCACACATAGAAAATACCCAACTACAAAAGATTAAAACTAGCCTGATAGAAATTACATAAAATTTCAGATTCATGAAAGTATCAGTCAATTCCAAGGTGTACTGCAGGTCGTAAAGAGTTATAGCTGAAATAGTTCAGAAAAAATAATTTATCTGAAAGGTTGGAAAAGACGTTGAAAAGCAAAGAAAATATTTTACAGATGTGTTTGGATTACTATATTTCATTTCACTAAGTTTCTCAAAGTTTCAAAACTTCTAAAAGATATTATGTTATCACAGGATGAGAGAGAAAGTCCCCTCGTGAATTAAGTAGAAGGTAGAAAATCAAAACCAAAGAAATAAATAACTTTCATTATGGGGTGGGGTTCCTATTGTAGTCTCACAGGGACCTGCACTGAGGTTGTTTTTTAAACATTCAGAAACTATGTGGAAAGGAGGTGAGTGAGGAGACAACAAAGTTTGCAAAATGATTCCACAGAGCAAAAAATTAAATTGACTGTGAAAAGCTGCAGGATAGCAGGACACTTTAGCATCTGTGTGATAAAAGGCCAGCTGAATTCAAGGATAATAAACATTAAGTCATTCCAGTGAGCTCCAAATTAGGGCTTTCCATTAGTAGTTATTACTTAGGAAGGAAATCTTGGAATCATTTGCAGATGGCTATTAGCTTACATTTTGCACATCCACTCAAAATTCACCAGGAGTCAAAATGATAGGGACAATTAGGAATGGGCAAAGAGCACAACAGAAAACATGGTTCTGCCACTGGATGATCCCTGGTGCATCCAGACTTTGAGTATTGCTTGCATCTCATCAAAATAATATAATACATACAAATGGGGCAATAAGTGCAACAAACGTATGGAACACCTTTTGTAGGAGGAGAGGTCAAAGTGTCTAGGATTCTTGAGTTTCAGGGAGATCTAACTGAAGTGGGATATCACAGAAACTTGTGAAAGCATAACAACATTGAGAACAGGACAAGATAATAATTGTTTACTTGTTCTTTGTCATATACAAAACTAGGGCATCAGGTGAAATTATCAGGGAGGCCTTTCCAAACAAATCAAGATACACATTTTTTCTCCTATTGCATGACTAAACCATGAAACTCACTTTTACAGTGAGGCTGAAGATATATCACTCAAGATACACTTTACAGAAACCCATGGAGGAAAAAAATTTCCTCAAAGACTATTAAAATCAAGAATATGGATAAGACCTCTGTTCCATGAACTTTCTTGGTTGCAAAGTGCTGAAGATAGCTGTATGTCTCTTTTCTGTTCTTACAATCTGTTTTTAAATTTTAATACTGGTTAGAAGACCATTCTCAACTTTGATTTTAGGTATCAATTCATCTAGTTTTTCTTACATGCATAAATGATACAGAACCAAAAACAGACTGTATTACAAAACTTCTGAAAAAGGAGATTTCAAAATATTTTGCAGTGGGCAATGTGGGAATGTTATTACAAGCTGACAGAAGTATCATCAATAAATGATGATATTTCTTATAAATTGGAGATGCTTCATCTAACCTCATACTGAAGAAAAACAGGAACAAGAACCAACTTCCTGCCCTCACTCTCATGATTTTCCACTATAAGTTTCTCCTTCTATTTCCAAGAGAGAGATGCTAAAGACTTGAAATTAGAATCATAGAGTATCCTGAGTTAGAAGGGCCCTACAAGAATCATTGAGTCAACTCCTGATCCTGCACAGCACCATCCCCAAGAGTCACACCACATGCCCAAGAGCATTGTCCAAGCACTTCTTGAATTTTGTCAGGCTTGGTGCTTGGCCTGGGGAGCCTGCTCCAGTGCCCAACCACCCTCTGGATGAAAGAACTTCTCCTAATAGTCAACCTAAACCTCCCCTGACACAGCTTTGGGCCATTCCCTTGGGTCCTGTCACTGGGCACCACAGAGAAGAGACTGGTGCCTGTAGACCACCTCACTCTCTTCTTCTCCAGGCCAAACAAGTGACCTCAGGCCTTGCAGGCTTCCCCCCAAGGGCCTTCACCACCTTCATAGCCCTCCTCTGGACATTTTCCAAGAGCTTTGTATCTTTCTCGGATTGTGGCACCCAGAAGGAGTTTGATCTTCAGCAAGCAACTTGTAGGTAAGTTTACAAATAACAGAGAGCCACAGCATCCACCACTGTCATCACCATTTCTTGTTGTCATTGGTCAGAGGCACAGCCAGGATTGCAGCCCTTTCCTCTGACCTCCATGAGCATACTCAATTCATACTTTCAGAACATTTTGGGATTAGAACTGAGTACACCTCTGAGCAACTTTTTCAGAGCAACAATCCAAAAATTGTTTGGGGCAAATACGGCTGAACCACCATGTCACATTTCCTCTATGCTAAGCAGTAAATTCCTCTATGCTGCACTTAAATTCTAAACACCAGAAATATCTACTGTCACTGCACTGACACACTAAAAAACCACCTTACTACGTGCTTATCATTAAAAATACAGAGTGTTTGTGGGCAATCCATCATTAAAAAAATTACTTCTGATCAATGGTACAATTGCAGAAACATGAAACTTCCTGAGTGCAGAGATAAATTTTACCATAGCAAGATGTGTTTCTCCCCAGTTCACAGGCCAAGGAGTCCATGAAGCCCACAGCTTCCTTTCACATGAGCAGTCTGCTCTCCACAAAGAGCTCAGCCTATTTCAACTTATCAGGATAGAAAGGAGTAAGTAAAACATCTTGTAATACTTCTCCCTTCTGGAGTATAAATACAACAGGGTTCATATAAATGATCTTGTGATTTTCTTCCCTGAAATAAGAATTTTTCATGGTGTCATCGAGATATTACCTTTCTATAAGTGTATTTGTCTTCTTCCACCATCTTCATCCATGGTTCCAGCAAAACAGTGAGGATATGTTCTTCTGCTGGGTCAAAAAGGTCCTCAAAAGCCGGGTCAATTTTGTGATAAATCATATTTTTCTTTTCTTGATGAAGTCCAGTGTCCATACTGGCAGATGGAGCAATGTAAGTTGCATAAAGGAACTGCAATAAAACAGAAGAAAACTATATCTTAGCCATGGTACATTTCAATGGTCACAGACCCTTGAAGGAGAGAATTAATGCATATTTCTCCCCCACTGCCCTGCTGTATGTTCAGAACTAGTATTAGTTCAAAATTCAGTTATTGACATAATGAATCCCTCTGCCGTTTTTACTCTTACTCATTAAAATGGTTAATGCAATTTTCACTTGTATATATTTGGCTGACACTTAAGATTCAGATAACCACAGTTATCACTGCAACTGCACTCCTCATGAAGTCACACTGCTGTTTTGCAGAATATGGGGTGGGCCAACTAGTGAAGGCATCTTAGTTCTTCTAAGAGATGTCATTTGTAAATTTGAGGTTAAAATTAATTAAAAATTATACTATTTCATTCTCTGTGGAGGTTCTCTTTGGTAGTTTTTTCACAATTGTGAGACACTTATTACTGTACAGGATCCATGCAGGAGATACCACTGCACAGCTGAGATCTAAGCCCTTACCAAAACAAGAATCACAACATGCTTCTTATCTGAAGCTCAGAGTTTGCCATTCAACATGTACAAGGAGCAGAAAACTGAACCTGGAGGGTATTTCCTTCTCCTTAACAGCTCATCCTTGAAGCACAGAGTAATTTTTAATTTTTTTTTTATACAGTCCCCTATGTAAAACTCTTGTTTTCTAAATGTTTTGTTAAACATGCTATGAAAATGAACATAGAAAACTCAGAGTAAAACACTTTTTTTTTTCTCCAGGAATATCTTGGAAAAATAAATTCCATAATAGCTGCCTAAAACTTCATGATTAGGACTTCAGCTAGAAACTCAAGTAAAAAAAGATGCTGCCAAATATATTTCATATCCTTATAAATATTTTCTCTTCTTCATATTGTGAAACTCTAACTATATTTCAAACATACAGTCAGGGACCAGATTAGCAGCACAAATCAGAATTTTTCTCTAGGATAGCATTGACAAGTCCATTTTCACTTTATTATCACACAGATTGGACAATGAAGAATTCAGAATTCTTATAATTCTCATTTTCCTTATGTTACTAAAATCCAGCTGTAACTAGCAGATGTTCAAAGCAATAGAATAGAAGAAAATAATGTTTACTCTGTGTTCAAGTAGTAATAAAACACTGGTGTGCTTAGATTTCAAGCACAAGGGGAGAATGTTTGAGTACATTAAATAATGATGTTTCTGTTTGTTTTAAATTAAATGCTGATTTATTAAACTCTCTCTTTCAAACAGCAACAGTAATAGACTATATCCCCATTATTTTGGACCTTTACAATTTGAAACAAACCCTTTAGATTCTCCTGGTGTTAGGTCACAGAGGAATATAGGGATATGATGGCTGACATCCATCCCTCCCTTAGCTCTTGTTATGATTACTGTATTTATTGTGCATGGAGGATTCTACACTCCTTCCACATTTCTACATTTTCCATGCAAACAAAAATGGTTTGTGCTTACTGTGCCTATTGTTATCAGTGCAATAATGATATGCAGGTGCAAGGCATAAGAGAAATAAAAGATCCATAGGAAGAGTCTTACCTGAAAGCTGGACTACATTTATCCTAAATTAAACACTTCTCAGCAAATCTCTAAGTACAATGACATTTAACAGCTTTAATTAGATTCACAGTGATTTCAAAAGTTGAAAGTTACTTTGAAGAGCCCTAACACTAGGAAAGTTTCAGTTAAGTCACATCAAGTCTGATCCAAAACATTTGATGTATAAGATTAGCCAAATTTGAGGGGCCAACTCCAATGATACCAAGATGTGGTATCTTTAAAAACAGCCTTTTTAAAAAGGGGTTAACCATTTCAGTTGTCATTATAACTATATTGCTCTACCATTACAACTTACCACACAAGGGATCTGTAAATTAGTAAAAAGCTTCAAAAATATGTCCTCAGTATTTTAGCACAGATTAACCTGGTTCCTTAAGTGAGTGATCATTCGAGCATAGATTTAAGAATAAAATAAAAACAAATGCACCACTAGTTTCTTGGCTGGAATTCCCTTCCCCTATGATTTTGTTAACTTGTGTACATTTGCTGCTTTAGAGATGGCAAAAAATGTCAGCCTACCAAGTCAGAAATTGTCCAGACTAAGAAGTGTTGACCAAAAGCTATTGACAACCTGCTGACACCAGCATTGTTGTAAATGTTGCCACATTAGGGACTGCCTTTTTAGGCTGCTCTACCTGCAGAGCTGCCCCCAGTTCTTTATAATTTCACATGCAAACTAGAACATAGTAAGGACAGATACTTGTCTCCAGAACCAATATCTAAGGCTGGCAATACACATGAAGCAAAAATTTAAAGGTGCTTAAGCTAGCTAGAGGAATGCACTTTTCCAATCTCAAATAACCAAATTCTCAGTGGTGAAATCATTATGGCCTCTTCATTTGAAGGATGCACATTTGCAGTGTCAGAGGATTTGGCATCTTTTTACTTAAATTCTCATAAGAATCCATTGCAGTGGTATTTGACCAAGTAAGTGAATATATGCACTTGCAGATAGGAGAGAAATGAGTAGTAACTTTCATCCCTGTGTCCCTTGCATCAGAGTTGAGGTGCATCTGTAGATCTGCACAGATTCAATTGCAAGGACTGCAGGAAAAACAACTGAGAAGAGTTCTAGACATGTCAAAAAAGAGGAAAAGTGTCTGTTCACAGCCTTCAACACTGGGCAATGCAGTTTGAAAGACACATTTTATAAAAAGTAATAATCATAGCATCTTTTTATTCCAGTGTCATGGAATTCCTGAGGTTTTCTCATTCTCAGTGGAATACTGAAACCATTATATTGGTCAATCTCCTATGGGATGAACAAGAAAAATTACATTAACTTAAAAGTTAACAAATTCATACAAAAATCCGAAGCATAGGACATCAAGTGCATATCAAACTTTGTTGATTCATTGTTTTGTTCCTATTAAAAACACAAGATTTTTTTTCTACCTGCCAGCTATAAATTCTCCTATAAATGTAAATATGTTATGGATTGAACCCAAACCCTTATCTGGAAATTTGTACATTTGCATATTAGAATTACTTACAATTGCACAAACCTGGTTGTACATAATGCTTAGAAAATTCAGATTAAGACTTTGGCCTCATTTTATGACTTTCCAAATTGGGGATTGTACAGGCCCTGGGTTCTGGTGTGAATTCATCCCCAGATGAGAAGGTTTTGATAAGCAATTTCAGTATGACTGGAGTGAAGCAAGAAATGTGAGAAAGATTTAAGTCCAAGTGTTTTGTACTGCTGCCCAAAGGAGTGGATATTGCTCTGCTCTAAACGAGCGCCTTGTGCAGCTGCTTGGCAGAATGATGTGATGGAAGCATGCAATGCACTGGTGTTGAACAGAGAGGCTAAACTGCCTTAACCTCCATCATCACTTCCCACTAACATAAATCTTGTATCTGACCCTGAAAGTCCACAGTAATGAAGACTCCCTTTATCTAAATTGATTCTAGCATTAAAATATTGTATTTCCCACAACTGCATTAAATTTTCTAATTCTAAACAACTTTTTAAAAAATTAAAATTATTTTCAAATTTTTTTACACTTGTGTGCATATGTTTACAGTGAATAACCATGTATGTTCCTGGGTGATTACCAGTACTTCTCATTATTCTTATCCATCAAATTTCATTCTCACCATAGTTTCTTTCCCCAGGTGAATGCATATATACTTTGTAAAGCATTTTATTACTCTATTATAAAGCTGAGATAGCAATGCCTAACAAATGAAACAATGAGTAGCAGATACACAGCAATCAAGGTTTGTTCTTGTTTCTAAGAGGAAGCAGGCAGCACACATATGGAACACTGTTTGTCTCTACATGTCTCTTTCTGTAATAAATAGTAAAATATATATGACAATGTGCCATGTGAATCTGATTCACATTCTCTTAGGACTATTTGGAGTGACTGTCTTCTTGTGCCAAAGGTGAGTGCAGAATTTGGGAAGGCATCCCTTTCGTAAGCAGACTCTGAAGATTGGTTGCAGCTTGACTCTTTACGGTGTTCCAATGAAAACAAGTATAATTTTTCTGCAGCCTTAAAAGGCAAGCTTGAGAATGATACCAAATGTTGCAGCACATGTGTTGATTTGTTATGTTACATTTCAGCTGTTAGTTATGCTAATGGAACAGTTTCACATATTTAGTTTTGATGTATTTACTTTCATGGCTATGTGTATGTACTGCCTGGTAACACTGATTGTACGATGTTCTGCTGTCACCACCAGGCCAGCACTGGAAATAAGATTAGTAAAAAAGACCTGGGCCTTAAATTTTCAGCCATGCAACCACTACAAAAAGAATGTAAACTGGTGTGAAATGAAACCAAAATGAAAACCATCAGAGACTACAAGGTGAGCTCTGGCCTGCAACAAAACACATAGGAAAATGGTGATACAGAATAGATATGGTCAGCTTGGTGTGAGGAGGTCCCCAGCCACACACAGGCATGGACTGATGCAGGAGACAGTCAGACTTAAGGGGACATTCAGTTGCCCACAGCCTCAGGCCATGAAAAGAGCTGGAGGGGAAAACAACTAAAGAGGGTAACGGTTCAGTTTACCCAGTACGAGATAGGAGAGGGAGGAACCCATGCCTTGGCCTCTGCTTGGAGCTTCTGTACAAATAACACTGATTTAGATGAGAATTCTGGACAAATATGCAAACTTTTGTTATTTTCCCAGTAAAACCTCCAAGAAGCAAAAGAAGACAAATTCAAGAATGTCCAGATGCTCAGGAACATGTCATATAAAGAGATTACTCTCACCTGCCCTCTACGGATATTTGTGCCAATGATATGTGAAGTAGTTTTGCTCTATTACAGTATATATTGAAATATGTGGATAGGATATACTCCTACACAAGGTTTAGAGAGGAAAATCAGACCAAAGTTTCACAAAGTGATTTTAAAAGCTCCTTGTAGTTCTTCTAATGATATCACAATGTTGCAGTTTCTTTCCCTGATGGAATCAATGTACTCTGCCTTCAGCACCACTGTGGGCTAAGTGCATGCTCAATTAAAATACTCTTTTATAGGAAATATCGGTTCCACTTAACATTAAATGGAGGTCTAAAGATCTATTTAGGGGATGACAACCATGGTAAATATAATAATGATACCCTGACAATCATAAAAATTGAACTGGGCTAACAAAGATCAATTTTCATTATTGAGGTCATTATCTGAGGTCTGTACTATGAAATCTGCAATTCTAACCCACATAGGAGATGGAAGGAAAGGTACAGCACAATTAGTTGGTTTAGAAAAAACACTATCTCTGATGTTAACACTAAGCAGACAGTTTCCAAATATGACTCAGTGTAGCAAAGGGGAGTTTAGGTAAACTGAGTATAATAGATAAAACTGGGAACAGGCTGCAGAGCCTGGAAATCAAACTATGCATGTTTAATGTTTGAATCAAGAAATTCCATGGAAACAATCCAAAGAGCTTCTTTTATTGCCCACAACACAGATTTACTTTGGTGTGGGTTGTCAAGTTTTGGAAACTTTTTTATCTTCTTTTCAGTCTTTACACTGAACAAATGGATTTGTGAAGGGAACTAATAAATGTATTTTTGAAAGAAAAACACATTATTTACAACTTACTTGAGCTTGCTGGCATATTTGAAAAGGTTGAAGGGTTTCTTGGTAAAAAAGCTGATGATAAGCCTGTAGGTCGAACCAAAAGTACACGCAGTTCTTCCATAACTAGAGATGAAAAATATTGTAGGTTATTGCTACCCAAATATCACAATTTTATAAAAAATTGACTTTCCAAAGCAAGTAATTATTTAGCTCCTTGGGGTCATCATAAATCAAGCTCAATTTAAAATGGATTTAATCTTCTGTCGCATACTGGCAGAAGAACAACATATTTCATAGCATCGTCACAGTGATACTCTATCTTTTATTGCATCCTTTATGCATAATTGGCCATTAAAATTGTTAACATTGTAGTTAACATTTGAAGAGTAACCACATTTCAGTGGCATAATGCCAGTGCTAAAGAAGAGATGCTGATAATGGACATGCAGAGTTTGTGCCATGGCAAAATAGCGTTTTGCAGCAAAAACCAAAATAATTAAATAGTGTGTACTTGACACATTGTACTGGGATTATCATTACATTTTTATTACACACATTTCTGAGACCCAGAGTCCTGGCCTCATTTCATAAATTCAAACAAACAGCAAAAGATCTTTCAGAAGTCTAGATCTTTCCCCAAGTCCTCTGTTTTAATCATGTGTTTATAGGGTTTAGACCTTAAAAATACCCTGAAACTCCCATCACTAACCAATAAACAATCGATTCCAAAAAGGTAGAGATGGGGAACTTTGTTCCACAAACTGTAGTCTTCCAGACCCGGAACATGAGTGAAATAGGCTTCACAGCTGAAGAGAAAACTTAAAGCAAATAATTTTGAAAGGAGCCTGGCACCTGGAAAGGCTAGAGACACTTGGGTGGTTGCCTATCTCCAATGGAAAAATAAGTTTCTTTCATTTAGATTTCTTTCTATGCACATTTAATAGTTTTAGCTGAAGGTATTTAGCTTTGGAAACACTACATCTTGCCTTCTAGAAGCCAGAGGCATTTCTAGCTACTGCTGCTGGATTCTGGGTTGTGCTAGTGGTGAAACAGATGTCCATCTTGATTGCATTCAAACCTCCCCTAAAGACTCAATTTTTCTGCAAAGCCACTAAATACTAACTCAATATGCATAGACTCTTCCAATTCAATCCTCAATTTACACCAAGCAATGAATGATACATCTGCTGACTACATAAAAGAAATAATGTTCATGTCTCAGAAATACAAGGAGATTCATGGAAGCATAAGAAAGTTTTAAAAATATTGGAGATTTTGGACCCAAAAAGTAAGAAGAAATCAAATTATTGTTAGTAATAGCACAGCAGGTTTCCCATCTTTTTAAAAAGGTTTTTTGTGGGTTAGAACCTCTTTTTTTTGTGCCAAGTTAATGGTTAACTTTTAAAAATGAGTAGCCTTTTTTTTATCCCTGATGGTACAATAAGAATTCCAATGGGTTTGAGACAGTAAGAATCTGACAGCTTGGTTAAGACCTGTCATTAGTTTGCATATATACGTGAACAGTTTATTATTGTTGAGGGATTGAAGTCTCACAAGTAATAACTCATCCAGTCATCAATCTTTCTTTCTCCATTTCTTTTTTTTTTCAGTCTGGCTGCCCTCTATAACTTGGCATTCAGTCAATTGTGGACTAAATTATCACAGAGTAGGAAAATATTCATACCTTATTCCCTGACTTCTCACAGAATTGTGTGAAGTAGTAGCCTGCTCTGTTCTCCAAATAAAGAGACTGCAGCATGCTTTCAATTCCTGATCCCCTGAAGACCACACTGCTAGCAACACTTTTCCCCTGGACAAATAAAACATAGTTATACAGCAAGGAATAACAGGCTTTCATTATTTTCAAATGTCACTACATTGCAAAGGAAGGCCATGAAGTGTGTTCAATTAGTATCTTCATCCCAAGGAAGTAGACTCCATTTTCTACTACATATGCAATTGATCATGGCCCTTACCACCATTTTCCCACTAAATATTCACATCCAATGGAATAAATCTGATGACTGAAGACATGTAGAGAAGCTAAGTGATTATAGCATCCCTTAGGTGGTTCCTCAATACTTAAAACAGAAAAACAAACCTGGCCTTATTTCTGTCATTAAGTCTTTAGCTCTGTGGAATTCCAGTGATACTCAATGACATCAGTTAGCTGTCAAAGGTTGTCTCAGCTCAGGCTACTGTGTTTTGAATTAAGAGAAGTTAAGAGGAGGCTATTTGGTCAAGATTCAAAACATTTAACTATTATGGAACAAAAGATACATCTTCTGGGGTTACACCACTGACATGAGCAACAAAATCATGAGCAATTTAGCGAGCCAGAAATCTATGCTCATTACCACAGCTCCCAGAGCATTTGAGGAAGAATACATCCATTTTGTCAATGCTCACAGAGAAGGCAGAAGAGGCTTCTGTAGTAAATTAGCTTCTGACGATCACAAGAGAGAAATTATGGCTAATTTGCTGTCTCTGATAGCAGAAGTGGAAGCAGATGAGTGTGGTGGCTGACAATCAGCTTCTCTCGAAATAGGAGAGAAGGGCAGGAGGAAACCAGACTTTTGAAGCAGAGTCGGAAGATTTCCCTCCCCAGTATGAAGTTAAACTATGAATCCCTGCATTCCCCTTTGCTTCATATTTGTGATGGCAAACTGTGAGGTCTTGACTGTAGCTTCCAGTCTAACCAGTATGTATGATATTTTCTTCTGTTGGTAAGAGAGAAACTGCATATGATGCATAAAAACTAATAGTTCATGGTGTGAACTTTTGCTGAATATACATTCCTAACTGCAAATGTCCCCAAATTGCAAAGACTAACCTTTTTTTTCTGTCAAAAACAAGGTAACATGATTGCAGTGAAGAAATGAATAAAGTGTGGTTTTGAAGTGCAAAACAAACAAGCAGGTATTCAAGTGCTCAGCAAACTCCATGCACATGTCGGTGGGCCCAGATTTCTTAATTTTTTTTTTTTTTTTTTTTTTTTTTTTTTTAGTTGTAAGGCTGTGGGTATCAATACCTCCATGAAAGAGCAGGCTGTTTTGAGACCATTCCACAAACAAGAAGGTTTTTGGATATATTTTAGATTGCCAGATGTTGACATCTCATATGTTTGATTTGTCAGCATTTCAGCAGTTATTGAGAAAAGGCTCATCTGTGCAGCCTGTCTCTCTTGAGGTTTGCTCAACTATTGCTTAGCAGGCAATAATTCAACAAAGAAAAGAATGAAGTACACAAGCAATAAAGAGGGATTGTACAAATGAACCTTCTTCCTCTATGAATGTTATAATTTAATGACTTTCTAAGGTAGATTCAGTTTTCTCTGTAAGTCTGATATATTTTCCTAGGCAATGATTTCACTGAAGCATTTATCCAGAGAGCTTTCCATCATAGCCTACTGAACACATGGTCACTATGGAGAAGATCCACACTTTCTAGTGAAAATAAACCTCCATGTGTGCCATGATTTCCTACCCAATAGGTGACAGATGCAACAGAGAAAATGCTGACATTCTAGTGATATCTCTGCATAAAGCATTGACATTCATAAAATTAAACCAAGTTCTCTCCATTTTTGACTACTTCATACTGCAGAATAAAGTGTTTTAACCCATGATTCAAGACAAGTAATATTTTCAAGCCATACTTACATGGAGAAGCTCAGCATAGGTGTACTTTCTATGACCCTGGTATTCTGAGTCTTTAGTCCCATCCAGAGCTAAGCTATGAATCACATCTGTGCTCACTGACATTGGCCTGGATCACAAACAAAAAAATCTTCAATACATATTTAAGAAAAATCTAAGGCTGCTTATAGAATAAATAAATAAAAAGGGGCAAAAAAAACTGGCGTAATGATTAAGTGAATAGAGAGGAAAAAGTACATGGAGTTTAAATTTATAATGAAAAAAAAATGTAGAATACCTTTTTCATATTGCTCTGTGGAAATCATTGGCATAGCATGACTCTATGGGTTAGCCTTTGTGACAGGTTAAAATAATATGAATGTGTAGAATATTGACTATTACAAAAGAGAAAACATTTGTATTTGGGGAAATAAACTCTTTTGTGCTGTGGTATAAACAAGTGAGAAACTCATCAGCCAGGGAGGAATTCTCCATGCAAACAATCTGTACCATAACTGTGCTTCACTAAGCAGATAATTGTAATAAAGTATTAATGAAAACAGTAGAATCTAAAATACTTCCATAAATATTTGAGGTATATTGCTGTGCAGAAAGATACACAAGGACTTTAGTACTTACCGCATTCTAATGCTAGAAATATCATCCCTTCGGAGAGTCCGACTTCCTGTGAGAATAGGTAGTAATCCTGATGACCTCTTCAAAGAGAAATTTGGTTTAGCTAGTTTTAATAAAATTGTTGGTGAGTTCGTTCTACTTTTGTAAAAGACATTACAGAAAAATAAGGAAATTCTGATTACTTTTCCACCTTTGTGTTTTCTTAACATGTTCTCATTGACTGGTCAAAAACAGTCAAGAGTTTCCAAGAGTATTCTTCCTTGTCAATCACAATATGTGAAATGGCAAGTTGCAAAAATTTCTGAATATTTTTCAAGATTTTTCAGCATACCTTAATAACCACTACAGCTCAGAAAATGCATTTTTAACAGGTGGAAATATGCTACAAGCACATTGTACAGAACTACAGAGGATGTCAGGTGAAGGGCATGTGAACATGTTTTGTGAAACTTTAGGACAATTAACTTAAGTCAGCTCACTGCAAGAGAGATACAATCACTCAGACTGGAAGAGAAAGGGGTCATTCTGACACACCATCACTTATTATTTTGAACAAAATCATACTCTGACCTTTTGGAGATGCCAATTTCATTCAGAGTGCCCTCAGAAATTCACCCAGAGCTGCTGCTTTACCTAAGCTCTTGCAAGCACAATGTAGTTAGAAGATTCAAAAGTCAAAATTTCTTGTAGGAAAAAAGAAGTAATAGCAAGAAATGGGCCATTTGGTGACTCTGTGAATGCTCATGATACCAGATCCTAATTTGTGTCAAATTCAACAGGGACTGAGAAACCTGCAGGTTCCTGTCTGCCTGACCTACAGCTAGTCCTGGCTCATTAGCACACCTTGTGAACTGGTCACTGTAAGACACAGGTGCGTCTTGCTCCCATTTCTGCCATGATCACCAGGAACACGGCTTCTGAATCCAGTTTCTGCTAAACAGGAAATCTGTCCCACTATTTTCCTCCATTATCTCCATGAATCAGATTTCAAAGGAAGTAATTGTAGCCCCAAACTATCCAACCTAAAGTAACAGAGGTTACTGACTGAGTGTGCTGACAAATCCGTGGCATAGCCTATACAGTTCTTGATACTGGAACCACAACTTCAATCCACTTTCTCCAAATAGCAAGTATTCTGAGGCTTAACACTGTATTGCTGAAAATCTGTAATTTTTATTGCAGTTACCTCTCACACTCAGGCTTTCAAGGAAGAAAAGTGACAAAACTGAACTGACCACCTATAAGCTACAAACTGTGAAAAGGTCTGTTGAGTGACTCATGGCTCTCTGTAGAAAGTAAACGTGTAACTGATTGAAGGGCTGTAGTGATAGAAAATGAGCAGAATTCTGACTTTTTTATAGACATGAGGAATAGATCCAGGTTAACTGTAGTGAAATTGTAAGAATTACTCTGGATTAAGACAAGGCCAAGTGGTGAAGCTGCATTGCTAGAGACTTAATTTTGCAGTTCTGAGAACTTCCAGCTAAAACATCTATCCAAAGGACTTAGGAAATAGCTAGGGTGTAACTGAGAAGATAATTTGACTCTATTTATAGCAACTTTTTGCATGAAGTATAATGAAATTTTATTGCATTTTTATATGTAACCATCTTCAATATACCAGCTGGCTAAATATTTCCTTAAAAACTTTGCTCTTGTTCCATTGAATTCAAGGAGTTTTGTCATGATTTTTGGCAGGAAAAAAGCTTTGTTTTCCAATGTTGTGATCCTACTTACCTGAAGAAGGGAAGGTGGTATGTCAGACTTTTGGGTCAACGGCAACAATGATACTATTTGTGGGAAAGGATCAACGTCCATTCTTGGCCTCTCTTGACACGTGTGCCAAAACTTCAGTTTTGCACTGGCAGCATCTATTGCTGTTGAATGAGTGACACAAAATCTGGGACCCCTAGGGAGAAAAAAGCTAATAAGTAGAACTTTCCAAAGTAATGAAACAATGGGCTGTTTGGCGGTTTTTTTCAGTGACGTTGTTTACTGTACTAAGACATAGTGCTATATGCACCTAGGATTAAAAATCAGTTACTGTCAAAGGTGTGTTTAGATACTGCATGCTTCCAAATCTAAAAGCAGACTACACATAAATAAACTTAAGTTGCAAATTCTGCACCATTACAAACCCTTCTATCAGTCTGCAGGAAGGTATGCCCCATCCATCCCACAGCAAAGCATAGGAAAGGATTGTAGGCCAGGACACAGACCACAAGTCATGTGAGGATCCATAATTCCAAGTTTATGCCTAGAATTTGTTGAACCCCCTTGGGGAGGAGAGAACATCTTCAAAAATTTAGCCCATATTTTGGAAATAGGTTAGATTTTATATCCTCACTTAAGCTGTTAATATGTAAAAGGCATTTTGTATGACAGGCATTGAACAGTAAAGTCTCAGGCTCAAATCCCATGAAGGCATACACACAGAGCATCCTCAGAACTTGGGAAGGGTAGTATGGGGAACAGGTTAGGACAGAATTAACCTACTGTGCCTGGAAGAGTTTCCCTGTCCTGCAGACTAAACTTTAACTGAACATTACCCAAGGCAGAGATCCACAAAGCATATCAGATTCTCTGGTAGAAAAATGACAATGGCTTATTAAAGCAGATCTACCAGGCTTCTCAGCAGATTGCAATGCAGTTTAGGCTCAGCCAAAAATTAATGTGTTAGTACTTACAGTGACATTGTTTCTAACAATTGCACTGGGATAAGCGGCATGAAATAATAGGCTTATCAAAGAAAATGGACGTTTATTAAACAATAGAATTTTATTTCATGTCCATTTCTTCATACCAGTAAAGAAGTAGTGGTTTCACTACTTCTGGCTGAATCCGTCTTAAATGCATTATATTCCACTGATCTCCATGCAGTAGCTCAAGTCTGAGCAACACTTCTGAACTGAGGAAATAGTCTCCACTGCTCAGCAGGTACAGTTTTTTCATCTTACTGAGTTGCCTGCAGTCAACAAAAATAGTCACATAAGCATGTATCAAATGCTGTACAGAACTGAGTACAATTTATCCTACTGCTTAAGCTGCTGCCATGCAACATGTTTTTAATTGCAAGTGGCAGAAGCCAAAATATTTTTTCCACAAATTAGAGACAGGTTGTGTATAAGACAAAATGTATAGTGCTATAAAATAGACTATGTGAATCCAGCAGGATCTTTCATTAAAGGAGTTTGTCATACTGATGTCCTACTTGTGAATTTAATTTCTTTTATTCTTTAGGTTCTTTCTGTTGCCATCTGTTTTCCAAATCTCTTTCTAACATAGCCTTAATAATATGATTCTGACTTCATGTAAGCCTTGCAAACATGACTCTGCAAAAAGAGTTTTATCAGCTTCAGTAGAGTCATTCCAAATCTTGTCAGGACACACATTAATTGTGTCTGTTTACTCAGACATTACAATTTACTCTGAAATCTCAAAACCTGCATTCATCTCTCCAGGTTACAAGTATTAAAGCAATGGGAATAACTGTTAAATAACAGGAAGTACCTTTGTTGCCTTGTAGTGTTCTTAAGAGCCTTCAGTCTTTCAATATCCATCCAGAGCCACCAGTACCTCTCCCCAAGTGTTCCTTTAATGAACTTCTTGAATCTTTCAAACTCGTGTCTGTTGCCAGTGTCGTACGTCCCGTGACTAAGACACCAGGCAGCCCTGCTGTCTGGCCCAACACTTTCAGAACTTGGACTTAAGATTCCTTGTTTTCTTTCATCTTCCTTGCAATCTAAGGCTGTAAGTAGAGAAGAACTTACGTTAAAGAGTGACTGCAGCACCATGAGCAAATTCATTATTCACTAGCTTGTGTGTAAACACTTCAGGCTGTTTTGTGGAACTTCACATTACTTTCAATGTCAGCAGCTGACGGGAGGGTCAGCTCTGAAATGGGTTCCTTCATTGCATTTTGAGAGGATATTGGTGTGGATTCTTCCATTGTCTGAGAAGTTGTGCTTCCCTGTTCATCCTCCTCTTCTGCTGCACTGTGCCATTTTGGGTGTACATAAACTCTTGACCGCGTGTGGGAGACAGCTTCAGCAACAGCCACAGAGTAGACCTCCTCAGCCCCTCTGGACCTCTCACTGGTAACATGGGCTTCTGCAGATGCTGGCCCTGAAGGGGAAAGGAAACTCTGTTTGTGGCATTCCTTAGACAGGTAACCTGCTTCTTTGCCTAACTAGTCAGACATTCCCTTCAACTTCCTCTGAAAATAAGCCACATCTAACCAGTGCTGGCCACTGTCACAGACAGACACTTGGATCAGGAACATGGCAGAGAGATTCCCTGCTCTGCAATTACATAATTTCCTAACTATATATGGCAAAATGTGTTGATATTAACATAAAAATCAGTGTGATTTTAAATATCGTTTCTTAATTCTAAACTATTTCTCATTTTCACTTGACAAAGAAAAATCACAGCCTCTTGACACAGGTCTATGAAATGAAACATGGAGAATCATTTCTCAGGACCTAAGACAATTAGGGAAAGAGATACATCTCTGAGAATGGAAAGAGAGGAAGCTCCTAACATATGAGCTGAGGCTTCTCCTCTTGCTACTGTGTAAAAAGCAGAAGCAAGGCTGTGCAATGAGGTATATGTCCATATGTGCATCAGTATTTTCTCTCCCAGAACCTCTGGAACTTGCCAAACAATTTCAAATAAATTTGAAGATAGACAGGATTCCAAATGATTACATCTTACAAGATTCATAAAAGTTGGCAGCCAAAAGACCTTTAAGTGCCCAACACAAACACCCTAAGAAGATGGCTGAAACACATCATATGCTATCAAATACCCAAAGAATCCAGACAAGAAAGTCTTTCAAAACATATGAATGCCTCTCCCCCCCCAAAAAAACCCAGAACAACTTAACCGAAACTTACAGATTTCTATGAGACAGGAATGTGTAAGAAAAGAAACTACTACTATCACAAAATTAGTTGGCTACTAGATCAAACTTTCACTTAATGTTGTAGCTATGGAAAGAAACAACTGCCTGTCTGAAGCCTCAGATGCCATGTGATATTCAGAAGGTAACAAGTGGAGTTAGCAATAATTCCTTAGAAGGCCTTTCCTTTCCAGCTAGGCTGAGCTGTGTTACAAACCACAGGGTTATGTAACCCCTGTGAACTCTTGTTACTTACCCAGAAGGGGACCTTTTCCAGGCAATGATTCATCTCTTTTATGCTGCCCAGGCAAATGCTGAGTATCTTGAATTTTACTAGAAACTACAGGATGCGTATATGAATCTGTTGTTTGCACGGAATCACCTTGTTTTGCCAAGGTAAACCAATCCTTTACCTGAGAAACTGTAGCCTAGGAAAAGAAGTTTCATAGAACAATTAACATTTTTCTGTTTATTGCCATAGTTCTGAGAGCTACAGCTTACTGTCCATAGGAATTCTGTGCAGTCTGTTTGTGTAGATTTCTGTAAGGATAGTTCCCAATGCAGAGAGGTGTGTGACAGTAGCTGAGCATACTTGTATGAGCTGAGCTTCTGTTTAAGTTGTATTACAACTCATCAACCTTCTTCTATAGTATAAAAAACTTTGAATATAAAAGCTATTTAGAGAATCATCGAACCAGAAAATGGTGTAGGTTGAAAGGGACCTTGAAGACCATCTATTTCCAACCCCTTGGCACTAGACTAGGTTATTCAAGAGTCAGTTGTCCCATTACATTGTGACCTCAGTTAAAATAATTCTACCCAATCCATTCAATCTATCTTGATGTTACACCTACTAAATATGTTTATTTTACCTGGCCAAGTGATACATAGAACTTCTTCATAGTCAATGAAGTCAACGAAGAGTCATCCTCCTCCTCCTCAGGAGAGGGAGAACTTGGGCTTTGCTTCCTTATCCTTATCCAGGGAGAGTAGTCACTATCTATAATGAAATTAATGCCAGTCTTGCTCCATTCCACTTGTGATATCAATTTAGCTAGTCTGAAATTAAATGATGAGACAAGAAAATAATTAATTTTAGCTTTTAATCAGAGAAACAGTTCATTTCCTCAAAGAACTGGCAATTTTATAAAACTGTCTATCTAAAAAAATGGTTACAGAGAACTTCATGATGCTTTTTTCATAGAATAATGGGATCATAGAATATCTTGATTTGGAAGGGGCCCACAAGTATCAATCCAGCTAGGTATTATTTCAGCCTTCAACAGCTGTCACATCTGTAAATGCCACTACTGCACTGCACAGCTCACCAGCACACAATAGTGCCCTACTTGCATTACCAAGCTTTACCAGCGCACTTCTTTCAGGATTTTGCATGTATCTCTGCAGTTCCAAGCCCTGCCAAGATTCCCTTGAACATTTTGTTCACTAAAATTGAACTGTTCTCCTAGACTGCAGAAGACCCCAGACTACCAAAGACTACACCTCCAGTTCCTGACAGAAGGAGACTTCCAGCAGGAATGCCCAGCACTGATTACACTGATGGAACTTGCAGCTGAGAGCAAGACAGCTGGCACTCTTGTGTTGAGCTGGCTGCCCTATGAGGATTCCATAGTACTGAACAGTTCTCCAGTGCTACTCTGTGTTAGTGTGAACATATTGCAGTGCTCAGGAAAGGCAATTTTAGAACCACATGACAACAGTGAGGATGCTCTGGCCCCAAGAACTGGGCAGAACTTGGTTAAGTTAGAAACAAGTACAAAGCCAACCAAGTCACGTGTGAAGGGAAGATGAAGCCTACACTTGAGCCTACAACCAAGTGAATGCTCAGTTTTATTTGTGCCCACTATTGGAGAGCAATTAGGATTTATTTGTAGAGTTAGGGTGTCTTCATCTTCAAACAAAAGTTTCCCTTTTAGCATCTGAACTTGCCTTGATTCTGATTCAGAAAAGCAGCTTGAACTACTGATGTCAGTTGAAATTAGGTACATGCTTAAAGATGGTTTTATGCAATTCTCTTGGTAACTGCTTAATCAAACAGTTTGCTATAGCAGAAGATCAAAGTTATTGTTTCATGTGACCCAGATATGTGTAAAGCAGGCTGTTAACACAGGTATAATTCAGCACTCTCACAGTTTGCTTGTTCTTTGCACACTTTTCCCCCTTGAACTTAGGTGCGGTTTCCAGGTTATCAAAAATAAAAAACATTTTACATTTTTTAAATGTATAAGTCTATACCCCAGTAGCCACTTTGCCATTACAATCAGCAAATATGAGTTTTGTGAACCATATTTCCAGGCTGCCTCTCCTTTTGGACCCCTAAAATATGCTACAATCATCTGCATCTAGACACAGCCTTAAGGGATACAGAGGTAGGTCCTCCCAAAAATACACACTAGATCTCCTGAACATCTGCTGAATGGACATCTGGAAAAACACTGCAAGTTTTTAACAGTAAATCATCCAGCTACGCTATGGTATCCCACAGAGGACTTTGTTAAACTCTGACAGAGGCCCCAAAGACACTAGACTAATAATTAAAATAAAAAACACTTCCTGTTTTTTTCCAAATTAATTTCATAGACTTGTAACTTCTACTTATATGGCTTACATATTTATTAGCAAAAGATGCATTGCTAACATGACTTCTCTGAGGTACAGAGATTTAGAAATCAGTAAATCCCATTTTTACCCTCTTTGTAATGGTGTAGTATAGGATGTAATTCATGGTCAAGGAAAATAAAAGCATGAGTGAAAAAAGTCACTAACTTTATCCAGGCCACTAAAACATTACAATAAAGAAAACAGGACAAGAGAGGGCAAAACCACTTTAAGAATACTACCAAGATTAATTAAACAAAAGAGGAAAATGTAAAAATTTATAAATAAAAGACAGCATAAAAGATTGCAATACCTGTATTCAAAGTAACAGTCACTTTCTAGAAACGCTGGAAGCCTTTCTTTCTTAATCCACTCAATTGCTTGTTCTTGATCAAGTTGCTATTAAAAAAGAAATGCCAAATTTTTGCAATTCTTTACTTTCTTGACTAACTTGCCACATAACTGATTCTCTACATCCCCCTTCTACAGAAGCATTGTCTCAGGAAAACAAATACAGAGTGAACATCACCTTTATGCTGGAAAAATTACTTTCCTATTAAAAGCTAAGAAGATCTAAACCTGATTTCACCTATTAAGAGTTCAAATATTGTAACAAATCATGAGTGGTTTTTCTTCAGAAATAATGTGTGCATGAATCATTCTTTTACTGCACAATTTCAAATGCAAATTACATGCACAAAAAATTTCTGCAGCAGGAAACTGCTGCTTTCTGACTTTGACATATTTTATAAATAATAGATATTATTTTTCCTCAAGAATTTGAAGAGTAAAGAACCTTAAATAAAGTTATACTTTCATAATGAGAAAGCTCTGGTAAATAAAACCAAAATCAAACAAATAGAAATACAATTAGTTATCACCTCTCATGCTTTTATGTGTTGGATCACTGCATAACTGCATTGTACACAGTAATTCTCATAGTGGAAACCCACGCTTGGTATCACCTGGGGCCTCAACAAATTTCTGCTCAGGCAGTCTAAGCCTCAGTGCCTCATTGAAGCAGAAAGAGAGGGGCCTCCAAGGAGTAGTTTGGGGGGTGAATGGGAAATGTTGAGCAGCAAGTTACACGGAGACTTCTAGTTCCAATGAAGTAAGAGTAAGATCTCTGACTATGGCCACAACGATCCATGGTTGCTTCCCTTAGAAATTACATACAACCCTTCCTAGTTTTTTTTTAATAGCGTACTTTTTCCACTCTTAGGGGATGATCTATTTTATTAATCTGAGGTGCATTTTTCCTTTACTGAAGGCGAGACTAATTATTTTGAAGAATGTAGTAACTACCCTTGTCCATAAAAACAGGTGAAGTTTGGGCAAGGATGGATACTACTTGTTATATCAGGTAACCAGTTTATGTAGATCACAGCTTGAATTTTCTTTCCATGAGCTAATATTCCATTCGGGACAAGGGTTATTTCTGCCTCATACGTATCTGTAGGGGATTAAAAAAATCTGAATTACTCAGAAAGTGGGTGGTTTCATTTAGAGAGAAGAAAATATTTCAAAATATGGAAAGCTTATGTTGGCAGTGGCTCATACAGTGTAATTTTGTGGAGATGGAGACTAATTACTCCCAACCACACAGTGTATGCTTCTTCTTGGCAATTGACAAGTTTTTTTGAAACACAGAAGATAGTTTCTTTATTTTGGCATTTAATATTTATGCATTTACTGACTTACAGCCCAGTTTTTTATCTGAATGATTCACAATATGCTCACGTCTGTACATAGCTGGTGCACAAAATTATATGTCATATCAGAAGGAAAAAATTTCTATTCTTTCCTCATCCCCAGAAAAAGATGCTACATTTAATCTGATGGAGTTTGTTACCTTGGTTAGTTTCTTTACCCAATCAGCCTCAGACCTTACTAGGATTCAATCCAGCAAAGCTTTTAGCACGTGTTTAAGTTTAAGCATGTGTTTAACTTCCCTTGATTAAAGTTAAAAACATACTTAAGTGCTTTGCTGAACTGGGGTTTCTCTGAAGTAAGGTATGTGGGATGCCAGCCAGTTTCTTTCCATAGCTGTGATCTATTTTACACAAGTCCACAGATTTTTTTCTCAATGTATTTCACACCATGACATTGACTATGGATTAGAAGATACTTACTTCCATATCAATGATTTGCAAACATGCAAACACACATGAAGAAAACTTTTGCTTATCTGTAAATTTGTAACAATCTGAGAGGGAAGTAAAATACAGAGAAAAATACCACTGTGTGTATTTCTTAGCCAAGATGTGTTTAAATTCAGGCCATAGCCTGAAAGGCCTACTAGGATTTTCCAATCAAAACTCCTTTTCATAAGTAACCTGCCAGTGATGCTCACTCAAGGTGACTTTTTGTAATCAATGTAACATTTAAAAACAACTCTCTATCTCTTTAGTTCCTGTGAAGGCAGTCAAAGCAAAGCAGACAGCATCACCTGACAACTGAAAGATCAAATCCTACTTGATTTGAACAGAACTACTTGACAGAGTTGTTCTGGGGTGGTTTCTCCTGGTGCAGTCACTGTAGTGCAATGAATGGAGCTGACTTCTTTCACCCTGTGTAGCTGCAGTAACCATTTGAGACAAACTGTTTCACAGATCATTTTGCTCCAGCTCAGACTTGAGATGTCAAGCTGAACTCGATGAGGCATCTAAGTTACCCATCAAGTAAAGGAGGAATCAAAAATAAGAAGAAATATCACCCTTTTGCCCCAAAAGGAGAAGAAAGGGTACTGAGGCATTTTGTTCCTCAAAAGGCTGTAATGCTCCCATCTATGGAAAACATCCCAGGGAAAGAAATGGAATCTTAAATAATACTGAAGCCCTGTTTCTTCAGAACACATGAAATAAGAAAATAATAGTGAAATGGCTTTGAATTGCTCAAGAAAGGCCATCTACAGTGGTAATGATGGGAGGTTAGCCCAGAGAGCAATGTAAGCCACACTTGCACAAACACACAGCATTTCCTCAGTTTAATACTAAGAGAGCAAATAAGAAATCAAGAACAGCTCTTCTGCTTTTGTGCTCTCAAGCAAAGTATTTGTGAAAATTATTATTTAACATGGTAGGGATGTCTGTGAGCCTCGTCCTTTTGTATCATTTGTCCAGTTTAAATGCAGATAATTGCAGTATCACATTAGTATCATTTTGTTAAACACCATTGCCTTTTGACCTCTCTCAACACTGTTTTCTTTTCTGAAAATCATTAATCTTATACTGGGAAAAGCAGTGGTCTGTTACAACTCCCTGCTTTTCTCTCAGCTTTCCAGCTGTGACATAATTTTGAGCAGGCATTGAAAAAAATGGAGCAAGACCTTATACTGGCCTTGAATAAAAGGAAATGAAGACATGTTAGTCACATCCATGCAAAACAAGAAAAAAAGGAATAAACCAAGCGTCCCAGTGAAACTTTTCTTTTTGTCCTTGAAACCAGTTGTTTAAAGGTAAAATCCCACGTCAAATTACACCGACTTGTATTCTCTCAGGTGCATAAGATGCTTCAACTGCTGATTTTAACCTGCCTAATTTGGTGCTGTAGATGGCCCTGGAAATAAGCAGGTGAGAATACCAAAACTGATACTGTCTAAGCAAGCCTGAAACCAGATTTTTTTTCCTAAATTCCAACCCATCTTTCCATTAATTTAGCTCTCTTCTTGCCAAAGATTATTTTTTCTGGCCATTGAAATTGATGCTAACCATGTAAATCCTTTAGGAATTAATGGAAGAGAGACTTATGTGTTGCCAGACCACAGATGAGCTCATAGCCACACAAGGAAATTAATTAATAAGGAAAGACTGAGCTGCATTAGTTTCAGTCAATTTGCACATTCCAGGGATCACTAGTAAAGTAACTGTTGTCATAATATTTTTTCTTTTAATATTAAAAAGTATTCAGACCACACAGCTGAACCCTGCCCTACAGAATCTTCAAAATTCTGTGCTACAGGATGTGCATCTGTAATTCCATTAACTTGTCTGCTAGACACATGTGCATTACAGGGCATAATTTGGCCCATCATTATGTTTTCCTAACATAAATTAACATTTTTCCCAAGCTACCAAGCCAAACACAACAATAATGATTGCCAGTGTCTCTACATTAAGATCTAAATATAAACTCAGGGTCCATAAGATGCTCACCATAGTGTTGCAATCTGGATCAATACTGAAGGTTGAAGAAGCAGTGTGCATTTTGGAGAGCTGCCCATCATTCTTTTCCTTGCTTAGAACATCACAAATGGGGCTTGGAGGTTTTTGATCATGTAGAATATTTTTCGGCTGGCTTTCCAGGCGTTGTGGGGCATCATTAACTACTTCAAAAGCCCCAGCATCAGAGTTAAACTTCACTGGCTGGGCAAAAGTCTACAAAAGAAGTTAGGAAAGTTTATGGTACTGTAATAAGGCAACTGTCATTTAACAAATTACTTTTTATGATATAGCGGCATCCTACAGAATAGAAAATTGCATTATGAGGCTTCTTTCTCTTTGAGCCTGAAATAGTAATTTTTCTGCATTCTTGTTTTTGCTGTATAGCTTTCCAAAGCATTCCTACCTTTTTATTTCAGCAATGCTTAATTGTCAAGAATTGAATGCATCTAGATCACAGACTATTCTTTTTCACATGCAAATAATTGATTCAGTACATGAAGTCTAGAATATATAATTAACTGTGACTTTAGTAACTGTCATACAGTGAAGTACTCACCTACAGGATCAGATCTACAGTATTATTCTCCCATTTGTTATTATCAACAATCAAGGCATGAAAATGTTAGCAATGAAACTGACCTTTTAAATGCAAGATTCATTTGAGGAGGATGAATCTGATGATTTTCATATGTAGGAAAGGTTTGTCACCATACTGTTACTTGTAGGTCAAACAACTACCAAAACCCATTTCCTGTAGCAAATTTTATTGCACATCACTAGTTCAGTCAAATACTGTATAACAGACGAGATGGACTGAACTCCAATTTCAGCCATGCAAATGTGACTTTTGTCAACTCACAAAACCCCACTGCACATGTACACACTAAAACAGAGCCATAATTCATCTTTTAAGCTCTGGTATCAGGTATTTCCCTGAAAGACTATCTTTCAAATTCTCTTATTTGAAATGAAGAGGAAAAACATGGATGGATTTTACAGAAGTCATAGAGAATACCCATGACAGTTATGAATAGGAGATTATATAGAACTTATGTGCATTATATATTATATTATATTATATATAGTATATAATATAGAGTATATAAGCACCTCTGCACTCAGCTGGATGACAAGGCATGTTGTATTTAGGTACTCAGGAAACTATGGCTACACCTAAACCCAGTGCCAAAACTTATTTTGGCTTTGTTCCAGACAGGATCTCACCTGGTGTTTGCACAGTTGTCGTTCTCCTGCATTTAATAAGAATATTTTATTTGTTCAAGTACTGTATTTTTAATTTCCTCAAACTTTTTCATATATCACATATATGCACACAGACATAACTCATATACATTCTAAATATGTTAAATACATGCTACATCTAACATAGAAATATACTACAGAACAATTTGATTCTTCTTCACACCCGTATAAGTCCAAAGTAACGATATTAGTGTCATCTATTTTGTTGCTTCTGTTTGAAGCCCCCTTGTTGATCAATGTCTTGTAGAGCAATGCCCAGAATTGAACCATGTGGCTGCAATATGTTTTTTCAACATTCCCTACTTATCCCATAATGTCTCACTGCAGAGGCTCAGCCTGGCAAAGCACACAGCATGTGAGAACTTTAAGTGTACGATGACATCAGACCATCACTGCTCAGGGCCATGCACTGAATTGCATGAGTCTGTTCAGTTACCTAACTTCAGCTGAAGTCATGGATTGGTTTTTGTTCTCTGACACCTTCTGCCTCTTTTGGCATTAATTTTCTCCAGGGCACTCAGTAGGTTTTATTGCTTTTTTTTCCAGATGTACTGAACAGCATCTAACAAACCTTTCATGTGCAGTAGATTTCCCTACACACAGACCTCCTCCCAGTTTGCTATGTGCACACTTCATTTACTTTCAAACCTAATTTGTCCTGCTACCAGCTTTTAAGTGACTAAGTGTGCAACCTTAATAGCATTTAAATGTTTTCTTCCTTATATATTCCTTCATGTTTTAAACAAAGAAACTGAAGAAAGTACACTAAGAAACAAAGTACTTCAGTCTCTCAGGATTTTAAATCCTCTTGCTTGTGGAAAAAAAGCAAACAAAATGCAAATTTAATAATAAAAGGCTTTGTGACTAGACATGATGATATTGTTTTAGTTTCATATTTTTCAAATTGAAAACTAAGCAAATACAGTATTAGTTTAGCACATATATCTACTTTTATTTAATAATTTGTAACATACTCTAGATTTAGGAATTTTTTGATACTTATTCTATTTAACTCAACAGAAAACTGTTGCAATTTTAATGGAGTGAAATGGATGCTAGTGACAATTTTTAAAATGTAAAGTGTGCTGCTGTTTTGGGGTGGGGTCTGACTACCAATCATTTATAAGACAAATATACTAATGGAGCAAAAGAATATGCACCGATGGGATAGGAAGATTTAGGCTTCATACACCACATACTTGACTGAAAAAGGAGGTTCTAGTTCAGACTTTTGAGGTTTGGAGGTAGTTACCCATCCCCAGGGACATCAAAAGGCAGCATACTTCTTCTATCAGTCAGAGAGTAGCCAGTAGACCTGACACTAGTAAGGATGCATCTGGAATAGTGCTCCAGTTGTGGGTCCCCTGTACAAGAAGGATATTCACATATCTGATCAAGTCCATCAGAAGACCACAAGACAGTCAGAGGCTGGAGCACTCACCCCTGAGGGAGAAGCTCTAGGAGAACTAGCAGCAGCCTCAGTGTATTTACAAGGAGATGGCTGAACAGATAAAGCCAGGCTTTTTATGGAGGGGTATGGTGGGAGGACAAGAGACCACTTGTCATACACTGAAACAACAGAGATCTCAGCTGGATTATAAGAAAAAAGGTGATTTTGGGATGATCAGCACTGGAATAGGCTGTCCAGAGAGGAATCAGCTGTTGGAGGTTTTCAAGACCAACTGCAGAAAGTGCCTAGCAACCTGGAGTCAGTACTAAAGCACTGACCTTCGTTTGAGAAGAAAGTCACCCTACAGACCTCCTCAAAGTCTCTTCCAGGCAGTAGTCTATGATTCTGTATGAATCAGAAGTTTCCAAAAGAGCATCTATCTCTCAAGCTATCATACAAAAGCATTTTAGAATCATTTAAATCTTTCTGGAGAAGCTTGTTTACTCAAAAAATCTACAATGATAAATCAGAATGTTCTTATAATCATAATAAAAGAAGAGATAATTCCTAATCTTCTTAACCTATCACCACCACAAAAATAAAAGTGACAATGTTATGAGAAAAATAAAATGGGAACACACAAAAAACCACCCCAGAATCTGTTTTTTTGTAGGAAACATTTTCCCTTCACACAGGAGAGAGGATCAGTCAATCCATTTTCCTTTCTGTATCTGAAGAGCTTTGGGGCAAAACACTCAGTCTAACCACTCTCACACATTACATTAGCCACAAAAAAAAATGCACCAAGAAACTCTTCAGTATCCTTTAGCAAACTTAAAACCTTTCCAGTGGAAGTCAAGTACTGTAAAATCCTGTAACACTTCTCAGGACAACGAGAGAGGTTTGTGGCACCACCAATATTCCATCCTTGCAATAATGAGGAATCTCTTCCGTGAAGACGCCTACGCTAAGGAGTGGATCATAGTCTACACTACAAAGGAAAGGGGGAAAATTATCCATGCCAATCTAATATACTAAGAAATGTCTTTCTTACCCCACATTTGGCAAGTATTTTTGCCTTTTTACAGACAAGTAAAATACACTAACCAAAGATTAAGTGTACCATTCTCTTTAGTTTGAGCCAATTTTTGATGCTTTGAAGATAGAAAAGGAAATCTCCAGAGAAATTATACCTCAAGATGTTAAGAAAAAATAAATCGGGTTTGGCAGGAGCCTTGAAGCTTGGGCTTCATACATTGTCAATGTAGCACAATAAATAAGATAAAGGACTTGAGAATACCAGCAAATAAGAAGTCTACAGACTTTGCAAATGGTTTCACTTGCAGGAAATTCTCCTCCCAAAGCCAGTATGACCAACGTAACTCAGTGTAGTAATCTCAGCTTCAGAAAAAAATCCCTGAGCAAATAACAAAAAGCTGTTTTCAGACTGTGGTAGCAATACTATTAAATGAATAAACAATTGCATGTACTTTTTTGACAGCAAAGAAATTTCTTAGCTGTCAAATGCACATTGAATATGGTTTTCAGCTGAAAAATAAACAGAATACATAATTCTGAAATGTGAAGTTATACACTTAACTGAAGGGAAGACAAATTTCTCTCAGTCCTCCCATAACAGAAACCAAAACAGCATCCATCATCATGTTGCCAGGATATCAGACATATAAATCTCACTGTTCTCTTTCTTTACAGTTTTCAGATACACTCAACTTCAGATACAATTAGGAAATGTGTAAATATGTTCACATCCCAGACCCAAATAATGTAGTTTGATCCCAAGAGAAACAGAATGACCACAACTTGGCTGCTTCTTAGGTTAAGGGTGGGAGTGAATAGAGATCTCATCCAGGAGCATAGCCAAAACTTCCTTAAGAAGGGTATATGTATATCATAAATAAATGTCAGTGAGAGTCCACACCAGAAAAGAATTTGAGCAGCTCTATGAAGTATCTGGAAAAATTCACACTACACATGGTCAATGAAAAATCTCCCACTGACTTTAATGAGTCCAGAATTTCCCTTCTGTTGGTAAGACAAAAGACATAATCACATATCACAATTTAATTAAGAGCAGAACATTTAGAGTAAACATATTATTAATAAGGAATGTAGTCAGGAATGCTTTGTTTGCTTCCTTCAATGTCAAAGATATGATGCAAGTTTTAGTGCTGGGTAAGTCTCAATAACATGCAGGTAGGGCCTTACTTCTGTCAAAGCCTTTTAAAGGGAGGTTATATTGGCAACTGCAGCCTCCCTCCTCCCACCTGGAAAAGACAAGAGGAAACTAATGAGCATGCACTGATGCCTTGAATTGATTATTTGATGCATGGAATTATTCAAAGTTATCTTCAAAGCAGTGAAGAGCCTGAACTGTGTTGCAGAGTGGATTGCTTTTTTGCTTTCTGCCCTTTCTGTAATCTGTGACTCAGATCAAGCAAGATTTTATTTGTGACAGCACTAGGTTCTCAGGACTTTCTTCTTCAGAAAGGCTAACAGGCCTAAGCTTTGTTACTTAGGCTTTAATTTTTTTCAGAATCATCACCTGCACCAAATGCTGAACCCCAGACTACCTGGAGGAGAGCTTTTACAGTGAGAACAATGTTCAAAAGAAATATTCTTCAAATCTAAAGTTGATCAAATTATGGTCACTTAGAAGATTGCTGCTGCAAGGGAAACCAACAATCAGGGACTTGCCATCAAACTGTCATCTCCTGAATGTGCATCAATTGAGGCACAAGGTAGCACTTCTGTCTCCAGTGCAACTCCTTGAGGTTGCAAAGAGGAGGAGTGTGCCTTCCTCAGGATCACTGGTAACTGGAAAATGACAGGTCAGACCCAGCATGGACTTGGGATGGAATGAGTAGCAAGCAGCTTGTAGAGTGCAGGAGAAACAAGTTGACATTACTGTGCTTGCCTTCAACACTGAGCTGGATGGCAATTTCTGACTCCTGAATTTCCATTCCTGACTTAACATATCCTTGGATGTTTTTAGTACATGGATCAGAGATTCAAATTCTAGCCTGAACTCCTAGAAATGGAAATGTGCCCAGGCCAATGTTTCTCTTAAATCTTTCATTTTACATTAGTTACTAAGGAAGGTGTAACTCGTTTGTGTGTCATGTAATTGGTTTCTGCTACTGTGAAATCACCGCACTACTGGCAACAAGTGCCCTCCTGAGGTTTTTTGCATAATGTGTTACAGAAATACTTTCTGTAAATTACACTTTATTACAGTATATAGCTCTTTGGAGTACCTAGATATTTATGTCAGATTACGCTGAATGTCACTATAACAAGAGGATCACTTAAGGGATACACTGTAAATCAAAGGAAAAAGAAAACATGAAAAACCTGCTGCTGTTATAGCAAGTCCCCAGTGATACAATTTTCCATATGCTAATGGTGCATTATAAATCAATGCAGAAGCAGTCCCTTAAAATAAGCATATGCTCCCCCTCATTTCTTGTATCAAGTCTCACAATATTTTCAGTTTAACTTGTTGCCTAACTACTAGCACACCTGGGTAATGCTGTTCCCAGGCAACAGTGTATAAGCACAACAAGAATAAAGCAATGGAAATTTCAATGCACTGTTTTAGTAGAAGCCTTCTGAGAAGGAGAGGGTAATCAGGAATGTAAGGTATTCAAGCCACAGAACTCAAGGCATTAATAGAACTTAATCCTGAAGAGGATAAATCCTTAGGAAAAGATCAAAGAGAAAATAAAACCAATTATGAGAACATTACAGTTAAAAATAGCTAATAGAGCATCTGTTTTCATGAAGATATGTAAATATGTGGAAGAGAGATCATGCGTCATCTTAGAAACCTACCAAGATTACCAGCATAAACCAGTGTTTACTCAGGAGTGACTGTGAACTCTTTTCTTTAGGCTTCCAGAGCTGTCAGGAGGGCCTGGACAATTGCTGCAGTTCAGAGCTGCTGAGCTGTGCCAGGACTGTGGGCTGAGGAGCCCTCTGAGGCCAAGGAGAATTTTGGCCTGTAACAGATGTCCTGAAATTTGTGCATGTCCAAGGAGATCAAGAGACTAAAAAGGCTGAACTTCTTACCCACTCTGTCCTCTGCAATTTGGGTAAAACTTGAAGCATTGTTTCCAAATAAGCAGCAAAGGCATGGAGGATGGCACTCCTGTGCTAAGAACAATCTAGTACATGGAAGAAGGCTGGGTTTAAAACCTAAGAACTTGGGCTTGGATTTAGGCAGATATCCTAAGGCAGCTGTGGGGCAGGGGCTGGGGGAGTTGAGGTGTTGGGGAAAGGGAAAAAAACAGCCCTCTTACCACATGATTTGTTCCATCTGTGTCTCTCTAGCTTTGTATACTCTTCAGAATCTTGTAGTGTGGTGAAAGCACATAAAGACTGAGCTCCTGAAAGAAGTCACTATCGATGCTGTGCACAAAACTCACACCTGACATGGAGTTAATACCTCCAGATTCTATTTTAGGACTAAAATTTGGAATGAGGAGCCCATTCTACCATCCTTAGTAGTACAATTTTCATGCAGTGTACATTTACACAAATCTATGATGTGGCTTAGAGAGACAGCTATGTCTGGTTCAGTTAAGTAAGCCAAATCATTCAGTTATGAATCAAAACTGAACTTATTTCATTAGTGACCTCACCAAGCCACATTGTAGCTCCTTTGAGGTCCAAGGAGCATCAAGAAATATTCTGCTTTCTCCTAATGCTGGCAGTGGTTCCTACCAAGCAAGCTGTAGAATGGATACATGTTCTTCTAGTGTGGCCTGTGGGACTGCAGTGCCTGAGGAGGGGAACAGGCTGTGGGAGCCACAAGTGACCCTGTGGAAAGGCCTGTGCCACCTGGCAAGGGACTTTGAGTGTAAGGTGTCAGGGCCAAGACTACTAAGATGAAGTTGGATGAGGTTGCCACATTGAGGGAGCAGGACTGTACATGTGACTCCCAACAGAGAGTGGGGAGCCAGGCTAGTTGATAAGGAAAAGGAGCAAAATACAAGAGAACTGCTTAAATACAAGGTACTGGGTGTGATGGTCTAACTGTAACTGGATCAGCACACAGAATACAGGGTAAGGCTGCATCCTTCTGGCTGCAGATGAGAGAGGAAGAGGAGGGAAGTGCCAACTTTGAAACCTTCCAAGCCATGAAGAGAAAGAGTTGTTTCTTGAGCTAAAATGTCAATTAATCACTGGATACATTGCCAGAAAACTGTAAAAGGACAAAAATTTATGTTGTCATGTTGTAACACTGTAATAGAAGTGGACACCTTTTAAAAAAGTATTTATGTGTCTTTTTCACTTCCTATTCATATTATTTTAGTGCACTGTGATTTACATACATAAATTATTAATTATGTAAGTTTAAATACATAAATAACCTAGGGATCTTGGTGGACAACAAGCTGTCCATGAGCCAGCAGTGTGTCCCTGTGGCCAAGGCTTGGTGTACTTGGTGTACATTAGGAAGAGGACTGCCAGCAGGTCAAGGGCTCTTCAGCACAATGGGAGACATTTGAGCAGTCCAGTGGAGGGTTATGGAAGTGATTAAAGGACTGGGGCAACTTTCTTATGAAGAAAGGCTGAGAGAGCTGGGCACGTTCAGCCTCAAGAAGAGACAAATAAGAGGGGCCTTATCAATGTCTATCAGTATCTCAAGCAAGGATGATGCCAGGCTCTGCTCAGTGGTGCTGAGCAATTGGACAAGAGGCAACAAGCAGAGACTGATGCCCAGGAAGTTCCACCAGAACATAAGGAAGAACTTCTTTACTGTGTGGGTGACTGAGCACTGGAACAGGCTGCCCAGAGAGGTGGTGGGGTCCCCCTCACTGGAGACAGTCAAAAACCATCTGGATGTAAATCTGTGCCATGTGCTCTGGGATGACCCCGCTTGAGCAGGGAGGTTGGACCAGATGACCCACTGTGCTCCTTTCCAACATGACCCATTCTGTGATTCTGTAAATTAGCAAGAGAATGTCTGCCCCCAGAAGCCCAGATGACTGGGCTATTCTTACTGATAATAACACTGAGCAGTAAGAGTTGCTACCATTAAAATGCAGATATATGGCAAAACATAAAATTTTCCGAGGTGAAGTTACACTTAATCTTAGTAAGTCTTTTCTTGTATTTTGAAAGGAATTTCTGTCAGGTACTTACCGGAAGACTCAAAAATTCATTAAAGAAATCGACAAGCATATCATCTGTGGCTAAGCATTCTTCCTATAGAGAGATAAAACCACAAAGAATGGCTTGTAATAATCTGCACTAATATTTAAATGCACTATTGCCTCAAACAATATTTTTTTCTATGAGATATGACATGGAAGATTTTGCAAAATATTATTTCCCATTTTTGAGAATATAGTCATTGCATCACTGCTATATTCCAGCCATTGCACACTGCTAAGGTCCTTAGCAATTTAAAATGCACACATGAAGCTTAATCAATTATCAATGAACTTACAGAGAAAGCCTTTATAAACCAAACAGCTTCTAGATGCTAAAACTTTTGAAAAAATGTGCATAAGCCAGCAGTTTAGAAATTCCCCACATTGTACCTTTCTCTCTTGAGCTTGGGAAGAAGGAGAGTATAATATTTCACCAGGGCCATCTTCTGCTCTCACCCTGCTGCTTAGGGATATTCGGGGACTAAAAGGGAGTAAAATAGCCTGTAATTTGGCTCAGCAAGCAAGCAGTGTATGCCATACTTTGAATCTGACAGAACTGGAAGGCTTCCTGTTGTCCTAATCAGAAGTGAAGACTGCATCTACAGGTGTTTTTCTATCTTTTCTGATGCCTACATTTTAAATCCTGCTAACATGACACAAAAACTGTAGACTAGAAGTTGAATATTTTTGCTGTTGACAAATCCAAAAGTATGGCTCCAAGTCTTACTTTTACTGACTCAGTATCTCCACCATCCCCATTTCAATTCAACAGAGGGTAAAACTGGAACATTATTCCACTGGTCTTCAGATATGTGTCTTCAGTCTTCAGAATGAAGACAAATAATTTTTAATAGTTTCATTTTCCTGAATATTCTATAATTTCAGCCTTGCAAGGCAGGGAGAATGAACTTAATATATTTGCCAATAGCAGCAAAGGTGTTGCAACACAAATCTTTTTTCTCTTTCTGAAGTTGATATCATTGAACTGTGCTAGTGAGGAATAGCATTAAAGAGAGGTTACGCACAGGGTACAGGCAGGCAGTATCTTGATCCAAACCCGAGTGGTCTAACCTAAATGCAGATAGCTTGTGCTCAGATAAGGAAGAAATCTGAGATAACATGCATGACAAGTCAGAACTAGACCTGATGGTGTTTGTCTGGCCCTAGTCTGCCAGCACTTATTCCTCAGCACTTGTGGTTGCTGTGGTGACTAATTTTCCAGGAATGATCTTGGGATACCTTGCATAGGCAAAGTATCCCAGGATCATTCCTGGAAAATACTGCCAGTGCTGAAAGCAAGGCTTTCATACCTTATATGTATCACAGGCCTATGGACCAAAGAAACTGCAGTGCCATGGACCTAGAGATGTTTGGGCGCTGCTTAAATAGGGGAATTCACCAAAGTGTCCAACCCATTTTGAAATTAACAGAGAATCTTCTTACTAATATCAATAGGAAATCAAATCCAGAAATATCAATTCTTCACAATTAGGAAAGGAAATTAATTAGAAACCAGCTATATTCAGCCTCATGTTTGGTTTGACATTGACAAGGATGAATCTCAAGATAGGACTAGATATGATAATACATGATTAAAATATTGTTAAATTACTTATTAAAAACAATTAATTTATTATAGGCTGAAGTATAAGCTCTTTAGGAATATGGAGGTAACATGTTTTTAATGTCCCAAGGATATAATTCTCTGTAGTCCCATAAAACAGCAAGAAATGTAAACACAGCATTTGATTAATAGATAAAATGCTTATGATATTATTAATGTGTGCTTTATTGCTTACTGCATCTACACATTATATACTTTCCTTTGGTTTTTGGAGAGTTTTTTGTAGACAGCTTTATTTTCATTTAAAGTCAGTTGCACTTTCTTATGGGCACATTATAGGTTAGGGAGTTGCACATACAATACTATAGCTTAGATTTTTGTGCCAGAAAGCATTTGGTTTCATTTCTTTCCATGCCATTTCTCCTGCAGCACAGTCTAAACTATGGCTAGAAAAAGCTGCCTTAGAATTGCAACTGAAGGTTGAGGTGTGCTAGAAATTGCTCCAAACTTGTGCTTTTGTTGGTTCTGTTTATGGTAATAAACACTATAAATAAAACAGTGTCTAGAGATTCCCAAAAGCAATATCTACACATTTATACTTTAAAATACACAGGAAGTGCCCAAAAGGCACTAAGTTACAAAGCATCCAAAACAGGGAATAGGCAAACATCACCTGAGCTGTAACAGTAAACATATCATTTCTTATGAGGTAACAGAAAAACATATATGCCTTTCAAACAAAAAGAAAAACATCAGGGAAATCCTACAATGAGATATGAGCAAAGGGCAAAAAAGGCAAAGTAAGGAAATTGTTAAACTTGTCACATTGAATCTTCCAGTTGTTTGTTTCCTTCCTTCATCCTAATTAATTTTCATTTCCATCTTTATTCTCCATAGCCTTCTGTTACTTTTTTAAAAATTATTTTTAAACTAAGTATTTTGTCTGACAAAATTTTAAGAAATTGCTCAGTAGTCTACACTTACAAAAAAAGAAATGAGAAAACAATGGTTTCCAAAATGGTTTTTGCTTTTTTTGCTCCATAGCTGCAAGATGAAAATAATGACCCAGCCTTATAAGCATACTTACTAACATTTCTTCTGTTATACACGGAGGTTCTGAAAAGACATTAAATATCACATGTTATCCAAGCAGTACAGTTAATCTGGTTCAACTACAATACAACAAAAAGTAGTGAGGCATGACAATCCTCCTGGGTATTCTGAAGTAAAATAACTTGGTCTGAAGAAATAAAATAAACTAAGAACATGCTGTAATGTTGACCCGTGCATGAAAAGATTAACTATCACAAGAATTATTTAAACAAAAATCAAGTATTATTTAAATATATTATTTCTTATACATATCAGTTAACTTCATGTCACCTTTCCTCTGCAAAATTGATAACTAGAAGCTTGGTGGTTTAATGAAAATACAGATTTGTATGAGACTCAAAGCTTTGAACAGTAAATACTACAAATCATGTGATAAAATTAAGAAGATCCAACTGTGTTCCCGAATAGTCAACTCTCATTCATTCTAGAATATTGTGACTTTAGTGATGCCATTTGAGGGGAGCAAAGTTCTCTCTTCGGAGCGATGAATTCTGCCGGGCAGGTTTACACCCGGCAGTTCAAAATGCCCCTTTTGTGCCACCGTCTCTGCACCTGAGGCCGCCACCGCGGGCCCCGAGCCCCGTGCGACACGGAGGCGGCCCAGCCCAGTGGGGACAGTGCCACGTACCGGTGGTGAGCCTCTTGGAGCGCATCCTGCCCCGGTGAGATCCCGGGGAGCGGCGGGAGCGGCTCCTGCCCGGGTGAGATGCCGGGGAGCGGCGGGAGCGGCTCCTTCCCGGTGAGATCCCGGGGAGCGACGGGAGCAGCGCCGGGGCCGCCGGGCCCGGCCGGGGCCTGTGGCCGCCGCGCCGTTGCCATGGCGCTGCAAACGCGGCCTGGGCAGTGCCCGCCCGGCAGCGCGCTCCCTCAGGGAGGACAGTCCCGAAGGAGATACCTGAGAAGCAGGAATCTGAGGATGCTTGTAGCCAGAAACTAAACTAAGCACTCCCAGAATGTTCGTTTCTGCCTTGGCTCCAGCATGGAAGAAAAGGTCACGTTTCTGATGGGGTCAGCGAAAGCTGTGTGCAAAGAAGGAATTCAGGATCCTATATGAGGATTTCAGAGGGATTTAGGTGTTTCACAACTGGGATCTGAAAACCATCCTACCTAGGAAGTACCTTATCCCAGAACTGCATAAATCCTTCAGGATTTTTTGGCATGAAAGTTCACGCAAAGGTTCTCTGCCGTTGCTTGTTTCCAGACCAGCGCTGCTTTTAGTAGCTTGGCAAAAATCCCGCTGGGATGAGTTGTACAAGATGTCATGGATGCAGGGTACATGAAGGGCTCTTTTGAGAAGCCTAATCCATCAGCCGGGCTCGAGAAGTGCCCAAAAGGCATTAAGACCTTGCTATTCCCAGAAAACTGTCATTTGTGTCCCCTTTCACAGAGCAGAGTACTATATCCAGTTGTAACGCTCAACTGTGAAAAAAAGTTTTATTTTAACTCATACATGACTTTGGTGGAATCCATAGTAACTAAAAACAGAACAAATGCACAGCTTAAAGTGCAGAAGCTGATGAGTGTTAATAATGAACAAGCAGCAAATCTGTTACCATAGAGGCAGGGAAAATGGCTTCATCTCCTAGAAGCACATGATATTTTGCACCCTCTACTCCAGATGTGCATTCCTACTCTGGGGGATGCCTGCCCAAACACAATCACTAGTCCAGTTGCTAAATGCCAGAATAATACTTCTTCTAATTGTCTAAATGGAATGTTGTTAGCTGTGTGATTAGCTTTTGAGCTAGTGGTTTGGGGGGAAGGGGGGTGTCCCCTTAAGGGGACAATAGTATTTCCAAAGGCATTAAAAATAAGCTGAATAATGTGTTCTTCAGGACACATTTCAGGCAAACATTTCATATATATATATATATATATATATATATATATATATCTGAAGAGCATATTCAAAAGAAGTAAAGAATGAAATATGAAGATTCAGATAAGTTACCTGTGGACAATTTAAATATCAGTATTCTGATGAAGTATTAACTGTTCTTACATTCTCTGTATGCAGACTGTGTTCAATAAGACATGACAAATATTAATATTGAATTTCCTAGTGCTGTGTATCAAGACACATTCTATTGTCACTATGAAATATTTCAAATAGGTATACTTAATGTAAGAGAAATTTGCTATATGTAAGAGAAATATGCATAACAGCCCATAAAATGCCAAGTTAAACCTTTCCAACAGGTGGAAGAATTGCACTCATTGTATTATGGGCCTAGATTGTCTCGTAACCAAACTACTTAATATGATTTTAAATGTTTAACCTAATGTTCATTCCATTCATTTTCCCCCTGCCCCTCTTTCTGATGTAAGTATAAACATAGTCTGCAGTGTATAACTTTCTCCTAAACTTCCCTAATTGCTTGCAACTTTTGAAGAAAAAACAAAAGAAACATTATGAATGACCCTTTTTTAAAAAAAATTAGAAGTGGAAGGTACAAGACAGCTCAGAAACAACTGAAGTTTGGAAGTGAGTCAATTAATGAAAATAAAATTTAAAAAGGTCCTTTTCCTCTCCTTCTGCCATCAGCTATATTTTGACATAAAACTCCTAGGTCTTTGTGCTGTTTCAACAAGCTTCAAAGATTACATTTAGGATTAAGCTTATCAGAAAATATACATTGTACTCTCTCATGGAGAATCTATCAGCAGTCATCACTTTTTCATTATCTGAGTTAACAACACACATTTAGATCAAATACCTTGTGTGTGTGTGTGCATTCCAGTCCTGATTTTACCTTGCCAGTTAAAAGTTCACCAGCTAGTAAAGCTGAGATCAAGCTCATTTTCCTTTTTCCCATTTTTCTTTCCATGCTCCTGATTTATTTAAATTTTTATTATTATTTAGCTTAGAAGAGCTGCAGGCCTACAGGATGTTTCATAAATATAGTCAAAGCTGTGATCTATCCCAAAAAGCATCTTGCCCTGTAGTAAAGATGAATGGCTAGACACGATGGGGAATAAGTTCTAAAAAAGGAGATACCCATAAAATATTGGACAAAATAAAGAAAAAACACTAAAAGTAGGCTTAAAATTGTTAGAAATTTTAGAAAATGGTGATCTGTCAGAAGGCCATCACAGGAAGAAGCTGCACTGGAAGACAAATGGAAGGAAAACATTGATTGGTTCACTTCATACCTGCTGGCATTTCCCTCCTCTGCTTATTTCATTTGGAGAGCTGAACTTTCAGTCAAAATATTAATCTGTCCTCCACAAATTTCTGGAATTTATGTCTGTCAGGGTAAGGATTTCAAGGTATTACCCAGGCAAAGCAAATCAAAACTGCTGAGACGAGTTTTGTACACAAAGAACCACACATATAAACTATGCCAGCTTGCTGGATGAACAAGCTTCCTTGGGACTCAGGTACACATAACAAAACACAAACTGGATTGCTTTACTAAATCCAAATGTACACTTGTGTTTGTAGGTGCTAACCTGTGTTTGATTCCTGGCAGTGGTCATAGTGAAGTCATGAATTTTCACATAAATAATTATGCATTCAAAAGATAGCAAATACTCATAACAAAAATGCAGATACAGCTCTAGAGAGATGCCCAGAGACAGCTATTGATTTTCCATAGAAACCCCCCCCTTAGGTATAAGTGGGCATTTCTTGCTGTGATACCTTTAATACCTAAGTATTTTTTACAGAAGTCTGACTTCTGTTGAATATAGCTACACATTCTTTTTGGCATGATTACCAGGGAGATTTTAGTTTTGCATCTGGTAGCTGCCATCACATGCACTGAAAACAGGTGCTAGGAAACCTATTTAAATATTGACTGCAGAAGTGCCAAAGTGGGAGTCAGATCACAAGAAAGAAGCACAAGTCCAGTGTCAGATAGCTGGCCCTTAAACGCCTTAAATTATTCTGTTGGCAAAAACACAGAGGCTGCCTGTGGTGATGGTACAGCCTCTGTGTTGAATCTGATAGTCCCGGTTTACAGGCACAGTTTAATGCAATTCTGTGGCTGTCAGAAAAAATTAGTGCAAACACCTGAGGAAACTGTTATTGGAAATACGAGCAGTCAAAAGAACTTGAAAAGGAGAGAAATAATATTCCTGAAGTTAGTCTAGGTTAAAAGCAAAAAAGCAAGTGGTTAAAAATAAATTTGGAGAGGTCAATTGCATCCTGGCCAGATCAGGAACAGTGTGGGCAGAAGGACCAGCACAGGGATTGTCCCTCTGTACTGGGCATTGGTGAGGCCACACCTCAACTGTGTCCAGTTCTGAGCCCCTCACTTACAAGGACACTGAAATGCTGGAGAGTGTCCAGAGAAGGGCAGTGGAGCTGGGGGATGGTTTAGAGCACGAGTCCTGTGAGGAGCAGCTGAGGGTGCTGGAGTTGTTTAGCCTGGAGCAAGGGAAGCTCAGGGGAAGTTTTATCACTCTCTACAACTAACTGAATGAAGGCTGTATGTAGTGAGCTGGGGGTCAATCTCTTCTCCCGGGTATCAGGTAATAGGACAAGAGGAGACAGCCTTAAGTTGCACCAGAGGAGTTTTAGATTGGCTATTAGGAAAAAATTATTCACCAAAAAGATTGTCAAGCACTGGAACAGGCTACACAGAAAAGTAGTTGAGTTAAATACCTGAAGGTATTTAAGGGACTTCTGGATGTGTCACTTAAGGACATGGTTTAGTGGTGGACTTTGCAGTGCCAGATTAATGGCTGGACTCAATGATCTTAGTGGGCTTTTTCAACCTAAACAATTCTTTTATTCCAGAAACAGTAAAGGAAGAAATGGGACTTAGCTTGGGGCTATGAACATTAGAAACCTTTAACTGGAGGAGACTTTCAGAGGGAAGTCCAAAGAGCTTTACCTCTACAGAACTCTTTTTTTGGATAGTCACTGGAGAATACTTCTTGACTTGTCCATGTTGCCAATGGCCCAAGGATTCCTATAACAATCCTACTCTATCAGGACAATGTAGAGGTGTCTTACCAAAAGGCTTTACATAAGGTTTGATTTCTATTTGCTTAATATGGGTCTTGAAAAACATTAGGGGGATACAGAGACATGCCTGGAAGATGAACCAGAATTTGGAAGGAACTGCTTAGCAATTTGTGATATACATTTGTACTCTTACTACCTCCTACATGCCAAGTAGTGTATATGCCTGCTGCATACACATCTGCAGTCATCTGAGGTCTTTATAAATTTCTATTATTGTCTTAAGGCGTAATTCCTAGAGCTTTAGGAGAATTTCACACTACCCTTCCTAATTTGGAAAGAAGTATTAACACTTAATTGAATAAACTATTTAGCAAGATTATGAAATAAAATTATTAGAAATGAAAATAGAAATAGAGAAATTATTTAGAAATTATTATTAAAAATAAAGTATTCAAAATAAAGTAATTCTGCAAAGACAGACTGAAAATCAGGAAAGAATTACTAGAGCCACAGCTATGAAACCATGTACCAGATAGGAACATTGACATGGTGCATACGTCTACAGCAAGGCAGAATGAATTTTTTGCTAGCAGCCCTGCTACAGTTAATGTAGCATATCTTTCTGCTGAAACATAATACAGATCAGAAGAAACTGTGACAGTTATTTCTCACAGAGATTTCACTGTCATGGGATGTATCCAAATTTTGGCACTGTGTACAAAAGATTGCATTGTTATTGTCTATTATCTATTTTCCATGTAGATAAACTGGAGTCATGGTTTGTAATACATTTTGGCTGCACTAACTTAATCTTTTCAA